TTTCTGTTTCTTCCGCCAAGCTCTTACTAAACTTACTGATGGAGTTTTCAAGTTTTTCTCCCATTCCAGCCTGTGTGGTCACGTAATTAACGGAGGGACCATGGCTGTTGTAGGATAAGGAGTGGATGGGGGGTGGAAGGGGAGGGGTTGTCCGGGAAGTGAGGGAGCATAGCAGCGTTGCTTTAACAGCAGTTAATTTCCTGTCCTTCCCAATCCCACTATTAAGGGTTTGTTGGGGAAAAATTAAGATGTTTGCAATTTTCGTTTCCTTCACACGTTTTTGCTGTTATGGCTTAGGTTTGCATTGATTTCTTGGACTTGCTGAATATAGGTACAGTTGAGTTCGGTTTATGTGAACTTTCAAGACTTCTGGAATTAATTTTCTTTTATTTTTGGGCAGGTGTGTGATAAGAAAACTTGTGGATTCGTCGTGATGGGAATTGGAAAAAAAGTTTGTGTGGACTGGAGGTGGGATGGGCAGAGGTCATTAGGCAGACTACGCCCTCAACTGGCTTCAATACATCTCATAACGCTGACTGCCACAGTAATTATCTATTAAATATTCCCTGCCCGTTTCTTGATATCTTTTGTTTTAAACAAAGCGGTCATTGCAATTGATTTTTATCAAAGCGGCCACAATCGTTCTTAATGGAATTTCAAGTCTTCGTATAATCTGATTTTCACATATTAATATTTGCGTAGTCACCAAACCGACGAGAGATAAAACCACCAAAAAAAAGTAAACAAATCGCCCGTCACGAGGGCAACGCTTCGCTTTTCCCTATAAAAATTCTCCGTTTCCTCATGTAAACCAATAACAATATAAGACACATATGTGAAAATCAGTGTGGGTACACTTCTGAACGTTGAAAATATATCAAGTCGAAGGTACAGTTTTGGTCTTGGTTCGCATTTTTGTCAACAAAATGAACACATATCGGTTAAAAAGATGAATTTCTCGAATATTGCGCAAGTTAAATATTCGATAGTGGCATCCATTTACATCTACATCTACAACTACTTTTATTAAGTTGGTAACAGACATCACGCCAACGAACTCGCGCCCAAAATGAGAATACTAAATGAGGCTTGAAATTATATTAAGAACGATTGTGATAAAGAAACAGGCAAGGAATATTCGACAATAGTGCAAATAATCGTGAAAGATGATCGCGGAAAAGCGCTTGTGTGACGCTCGGTAAGTTGTAATAAGACATGTTATCAGGTATCAGACGAAAAAACAGCACAAATTCTCAGTCTGCATTTTGTACCCGGTCTGCGGTCTGCAGTCTACATTTTGTAACTAGTCGGCATTTTTTACCGTCTGCAGTATACACTCTGTACTGACCGGATTGGTAATACTGTTTTTGTTCGAACGAGCCTCAAGTCCGGACCGAAATATTGGGGCTCAGAAAGAAATTGTAGTGAGACTATCTTGGCCGCTAGGATTGATGTGGCCGGGACTGTACATTGAAGAGCTCCCGAAGACAAGCACAATGATAGAGCAATAATCCGTGTACCTTAGTGCCAACCGATTTTCAATTGCATAGGAAAATGAAACTCAAATTATATTTTCGTTTTTCTTTGCAGTGGAAAAACAAAATTGGACTTCCATTTTCGTTTTTCATTTTTCTTCGTCAGGAAGGAAATGGAATTCGAATTCACTTAATGCTCTCCGTTTTTCTTTCTCTGTAGCTCAAAAAAAAAAAGATTTTAAGTTTCTTTTTCGTTTTTCGTTTCTCGTTTTCGTATGGAATTTTGAAAATGGATTACGATTCGTTTTTGTTTTTTTTTTTCGGTTTATGGTATTGAAACTGACAATCTTTGTGTAAGCGGGAAAATGTCCTAGATCAATACTTTGTCCGCCGGGTTCTTATCGAACAGAAACATACTTACGAGGGGCTTGTCACTGAAATCAAGGCTCGATATGAGAATCCAAAGGGCTGCAGTTTACGAAGCGTTAAAAGGTTTTGTAATCACCAAGGAATAAGGAAAAGAATGCCAGTTTCGGATGAAGCGCTTAAGTGCCGCTCTCGTTAGGAGCACTCCTGTTGACTTCCGTCGGAAAAAAGTTTTCTTTTATTTTTTGCCGAGAATGGATGCCGAGTTGTCCTATAACGTTGCGTAAACGTGATCGGTCGTAACGCTTGCGCGCTTGCGTGACTTACAAAGTTAAAAAAAGTGATCGGAAAGCGCCTTCTCGATAATTTTCGTTGAAATATCAGGTCTATCTGCACAAAACCATTGTGGTCCATTTATTATTCAGTGTTATTTTTTGTTTAACAGCGTAAAATCATTAATGATGGAAACAAATTTGTAGAAAGGAGGGCTAGTTCATCGCGTTCCGTGTGCAAAGTCTCGGGAGAAACTATAAGAATTCTTTCAGAGTGTAAGCATGTTGCTTTGTAAAGAACACTGTAACGTATTTCAACTTGTTTGTGAGTCTTTTTAAGCAACGCGATATGTCTGTAATGACTAGTGCCAAACTCTATTCTTTAATTTTGATCTTCTCCACACTGTGCGTAGTTCATGACCTGATATTTCAACGAAGATTAGAGTGATTTAGCAAGAGGACGGGAACGTCATTTCAGAACGGGAAAGCACACGGATAGTCTAGACACAACTCCATTTCGACTTCCGGTGTTAGCGTTGCCGTTCTCCCCAACAAGTTCTGGAAGTCATTTCGCTGGTTTTCCCGTCGCGACCAAAACGCCTGGGATTTGCGTAAATTTGTAAATTTTGCACTTATAAACGAGATAATGCTGTTTGGAATTATTTCAGGAATTATTTCAGAACTCATTTCCAGGGTAACCTTGTCCCTTCCCTTGGTTTATTCGGTGTGTTTTGGGAAAATTCACTACCTCATTTATGCTGAATTCCCGAACGAAACACAATCGTTGGCAAGCGCCAGATCTAAGGTTTTAGGGCTCAGTACACTTGTAATTGAGCAAGGCTTAAAACAGCGAAAGGGCTGTTCTTTGATACATTTCTTTAATCCTGTATGAAAACTCTAAGAATGGGATGCTGTTAATTTTATCATGAATCAATTCATCAATAAATTAAACTTGCTTCATGTTGAAGTTTATCAAAATGAAACATCACTACGCTTACTTACTGTATTATTCAGTGTTATTTTTTGTTATTGTCGTTTTTACCGTGATTGAAAACTTTTTCTGCGAATTGAAGTCAGAGATGAAAAAAATTGAGAACAGCTCAGGTATGCACTTTTTTATGTTTGAAATTTTTGATCAGCGCCGGTGAAAACTAAGACATGAAAGTCATGCTCTCGCTTCGAAAAGAAATGACAATCAACTTGATTTTGGCACGGCTTTCTAAATCTATTAATTTGATTCAGTCTTGAACGACTTCATTCGTTTAAAAAAATTGAATCAAACAAAAACGAAAAAAAAAAAAAAAAAACAGGAACGCAGTCTTATTCCTAAGTCAAACCGTTTCGTTGGTGACTAGTTTGAGTTAATTTCATTCTTTCACGGATAAATAGGTACTCATCGTAAACAACTCCATCGTTGGGTCGCTTGGTTTCTACATGGTTTCGTCATAACTCCTGATAATTCCGTTAAAAATGCATTTCAACTCTAAGAAGGTGATGCTCAAAAGAGATGTAATGTCGTAATTGAGAAGAATATTCAGTAAACAAGGGGAAAAACGACGACGACTTTCCAATTATCCTTTACAAAATTATAAAGAAAAACGAGTAGTGCTGAAATCTACTAGCACGAAACGAAATGACAGCGACACAAATAGAAAAAAAATAACTATTTAGTGGGCTTCAAAATTTGATAGATGAATCAGCAGACTCGAGACTAAACTGGAATGGAATAGTTTCAAAGTTTAATCGCCCATGTGGATTCATGTCAACAACTTACTTGCCGTATCTATAAACTACCCTCTGTTTGCGCCTGTTACATAATTCTCGAAGAAGATAATTCGTTGGCCTTAGAAAATACCTCAGGAGGATAAGCGTCACCTTAAATGAAGAAAATATAACTAAGGTAGCTTTTGTAACTTGAATGTAATCTAATCCAAATGCAACTAAGGACAATTAAAAAAAGCTCCTCAAGAGTTTAGCCATGCGTTCACAAAAAGGAAAAGTTAAAAAGAAAAAGTACAATCCCTTCAATTTTTCCTCCAGAAGTCGGTTCAAGTCATTCGCAATTGTCCCCGCAATAGACGTAGCATCAGGATCACTCATACAATTGCCATACAAATTCAAATTGGTTAGCGTCTTGTTCACTTTGATTACCTCAGCAATCGATGTAGCACCCGCATCACCAATACCATTGTAAGTCAAACCCAAATTGGTTAGCGTCTTGTTCACTTTATGCAAATGCAGCGGAGGTTAACTTGTTGGAAATGGGCCTTTAACTTGTAACTGTAAGATAAAAAGAGTCTGAGAACAACAGCAGTGTTTTGATGTAGCTATAACTGTGTCGTGAAATAAACAAATTCTCCCGGAGTGCCATTTTTTTATTATTATAATAGATTAAGTATGCATTACCGCAAGAAGATTTCTTTTCCAGATTGCAGGAAAATGCGTTTCTAGGACACTTAAGTTTTAAAAATTTCCCGGGGTAGCATGCCCCCGGACCCCCCTAGAGGCTCGGGCCTTCGGCCCTCAAGTTCAAAGGGTACCTGCCGACTTAAAAGGACTGCCCTTCTACTTCAAAAGTTAATTAAAACCCTGCTTTAATTGCCAAACAATAGATGCAGCACCCGAAAACGATAAAATTAAAAAACAAATCCAAATTGGTTACCGCCTTGTTCACTTTGATTGCCTCAGCAATACATGTTGCACCCGCATCACTAATACGATTCCTAGCCAAATACAAATTGGCGAGCGTCTTGTTCACTTTGATTGCCTCAGCAATACATGTAGCACCCGCATCACTAATACCATTCCCCAACAAATACAAATTGGTTAGCGTCTTGTTCACTTTGATTGCCTCAGCAATACATGTAGCACCCGCATCACTAATCTTATTCCAAGACACATCCAAATTGGTTAGCGTCTTGTTCACTTTGATTGCCTCAGCAATACATGTGGCACCCGCATCACTAATCTTATTCCAAGACAAATCCAAATTGGTTAGCGTCTTGTTCACTTTGATTGCCTCAGCAATACATGTAGCACCCGCATCACTAATACCATTCCTAGCCAAATACAAATTGGTTAGCGTCTTGTTCACTTTGATTGCTACAGCAATACATGTAGCACCCGCAGCACTAATCTCATTCCGAAACAAATCCAAATTGGTTAGCGTCTTGTTCACTTTGATTGCCTCAGCAATACATGTAGCACCCGCATCACTAATACCATTCCTAGCCAAATACAAATTGGTTAGCGTCTTGTTCACTTTGATTGCCTCAGCAATACATGTAGCACCCGCATCACTAATCTCATTCCAAGACAAATCCAAATTGGTTAGCGTCTTGTTCACTTTGATTGCCTCAGCAATACATGTAGCACCCGCATCACTAATACCGTTCCGAGACAAATCCAAATTGGTTAGCGTCTTGTTCACTTTGATTGCATCAGCAATACATGTAGCACCCGCATCACTAATACCATTCCAAGACAAATCCAAATTGGTCAGATTCAAACCAGTTCCAAACGACTTCGATAAATGCGAGTGAAAATCACTTTTTTCTCTTTTGCATTCGTTGATGACCTCCAATACAATTTTTGCACCACCGCCTTCATTTTTGTTGACTTCATTTGTTAAACTCTTTACAAGAGCCACAACCTGTTCATCGCATTTCATGGCCAAAATTCCACACGAAAACAAAAGTATTTGTTTAAGTTGAACGAAATACCTTGGATCGGAAACTAGTTCTTCAGGTTTCATTTCCTTGCTTTGAATCTGAGAACAAATGAAGAATGCTCCAAAGAATTCTTGAAAACTTTTATGTAAGAAGGCATAATGCAGTGTTTGTTTCAGTTTGCTGCCACCAGGCTGCACTGACAGAAATCCAAATTCAGTCAGGTCTTTTGCATGGTTTCTCAATTCACTTACATTAAAATCCAGATTATCGTCAAGTAAACCATTCAACGCTACCTTTCCAAGGTGACTCAATTGCGGTTTGTAATAGTTTGTCAAGTCTTCGATCGTTTCTAGTAGTCCCTTTTTTTTTCTATATCTTCTCAAAACACATTCAACCATATCCAAGTACAGTTGAGCTCTGCTTTCGGGGAGTGTGCCCTCAAACTCTTCGCATAAAAGGCAAAGAAGTGCTGTGTTTAGAGGATTGGCCGCTATTTCTCTCAGGTTTTTATCACGCGACATCCGTTGCGAGAGCTTGGTGGCTAAATCCGTCCTTTCTTTGAAGTACTTGGTGACAAATCCTTTCACATGCTTTTCAGTGAATCCTTCAATCTGAAGCAGCGCGTCACAATATTTTCTCACCTCTTTTCCAACTTCGTGTCTTGCTGTTGCAACTATGTGGCATCTGGGGAGTACTCTTCCTTCAATCAATTCGGAAAACATCGACAATTTACTGGACGGTAACTCATCCAATCCATCCAATATCAATAAAATGCTGGACTGATTTTCACGAATAAACAGAAAGAATTGTTGTTTGACTTCTTCATCGATGTCTCGGGGCAGCAGCTGATCATCAATGGCTTCCCAAACGTCAGAATGGATATCTCGACATTTCAGCAACAATACCACTTTAAATGCTGTTGAGCCGCAGCCCTCAGGCTCTCTCTGTTTAGTGGCCCAGTCGTAAGCGTACTTTTTACAATAGGTGGTTTTTCCCATACCAGGTTCTCCTTCAATCAACACTGTTCTCGGCGCTGAACACTCTTCATACGGGTCTAGTATTGACGACATCTCAACAACTACGTCAGTGATTTCTCCTCTCGTTTTCTTTCTTCTGACCACTTTGAGCCTTGTAAAAATATTGCCAAGAAAAAACTGAAACTCTTCACACCATGGAAATGGTGTGAGCCATCCCTCGCGAGTCTTGTACAGCTGGCGAATTCCACTGATAAGCTCAGTTGGATCAAAAATACCTAGCAGTAGCAAAATAAGAAAGAAATCTAATGAATGCAGCATTGAAAATTGTGGTACCTCTCTGGTATTCGGCACTGATTTTGAATAGGTGTATGAGTACGATACCGTTGCCAAAGAAATTACTTGGACGATGCCAAAAGGTTTTAGTGTGTGATTCATGCTTACTGATTAAAAGCCATTCAGATTATGAATTCAGTTGAACCTACTCTGTTTGTTCGGCTTTAGCGGTGTCTGACAGTAAAACTCTGTCGTAAAATAAATAACTCAGGAGATAAATATTCATATCACTTGAGCCGTAGTTTGAGCAAGGCTTTACCGGGATATAGCGCGACTACGAACAAATAAATGAAAACCAAACAACGCCTTTCTGCCTTCTTTGTCACGCAGTTTCATCAGAAGTGCTGCAGAAAACCGGAGGCTCGCCTGTGATGAAGTGAGAGGTTTTGTCAACAGTCTTTTCCTCAGGAAATGTAAAATAACCACATACATCTTATTCTAACCTATTTTACTCAAGACGATACTCATTCAACTATTTTCCCATGTAGAATTGAATACTCCACAATACGAGTGAAGGAAGGGTTTGGTTATTTTATTCAGAAATATGTGAATCACATCTAATGCTACTAGGTATTCGGCACTGAATTTAAATAAGCGAACGAGTGCGACACCATTGCCAAAATAATTACTTGGACAATGAAAAAAAGGAACAATGTATGATTCAAGATAATTTACTGACCAAAAGCCATTTAGCTTATAAATGCAGTCGAACCTACTCTGTTAGTTTCTAACATCGAGCCGAACTTAATGCCAGTGTTTTCTTTAAAAATGTGCTTTATTTTATTTCGTTCCCCACTCTAATAAAATATAATGTTTCCAGGCTAATTACGGGTGAAAGTTTAAATAATTGAAGGGAATGAAAGCACACCGCTGAGACTATTCCAGAGATTGTCTAAATTTAAAAACTGAATCTCTTTAAGATAGGATGATCTCTCCCTCTCTCACTTACAGGCCATGTTGACTACGGCTAAATTTGTGGTTAAGCAGGATAACGTTTATTGTATAATTCAACTGACCTTCCTCCTTGCTTTCTCCCACTGGGGGTGTCAAAGTACACAGCATTTCCTTAACTTCTTTCAGTTCGTTGTCCATCTTTGCCATTTTGCCTAGCATTTTCTCAGGAGACCCTTTCGACGAATAACATTGGAACTTTTAGTCCGAGTGAGAGTCACTTTATTCTTTAAAAGTTCGCTAAAAAGATCCTTTTCTCTTCCTCTGTTGCTTTTTCCTTTCATTTTATACAACATTCTAAAAAAAGTTATGGCTCGGCTTCAGCGGTTTCTGATAATGAAACTCGGGAGATAAATATTGATATAACTGAAGTCGATAGTCTGAGTAAGATTTTTGTCGGTAAAAAGCGACATTGTAAGAACTAATTAAAAAAAACCAAAGTTCACAGTTTTTCGCACGGGAAAAGTAAAATAACCACATACACCTTATTCTGCCCCTTTTTACTAGCACGACCCTCATTCAGCGATTTTTCTATGTAAAATAGAATACTCTACAATAAATTTTGAGTGGAGGAAGGATTGCATTAGTCTGTTCAAGAATATGCTGGTCACAAAACGGATTAGGAAGTTAGATTCATTATGTCCTTGTGTCGAGAATGTGATTACGCAATATTAAATAAGGGTGTGACGCGGTTAATATTTTACTGGAACTGATCAGAGACAATAAGAGATTTTTGTACACGAGAGTGATTTAGTCGATCTATTTAATGAGCGAGCGGTGGAAAATTCTTCGAGAGTGAATATTGTAATCGAGAGTGGTTAGCGTTGAGCAGAGAATTAAAGTAATTTACAACACAAGTGGCACCTCCGACGGGACGAGACGAAAGTGAGAGTGCTCGAACAAGAGCAAGAATCCGACCCGAGCAAATATGACGGAGAAACAAATAGCAGAGTTGGACACCAAAGTTAAAATGCTTTACTTCAAGCTCCACCAAACCGACGAGATCGTGGAAAACCGAGAATGACAATCTTTGGAGCGCCACCAATCATCGATTGCAAGTATTGTTAGTGCAGTGGATACGCTTAAGTCCGCAGTAGAGGAAAAGAAGTTCACGAAAGGAGAGAGCGAGGACACGATAAAAACATGGAGCGGAGAAATCGAACAACACCTCGAGAAAGCCGACCAAGCAACAAAAAGAGTTCAATCCGCAATCCAAGCGATAGATATGGAAAAGCAGGAGAAAAGACCGTTTGAGAATCATAAACAGCAGATGGAGTTTGAGAGAGAGATTTTAGAGCAGAAAGCAAAGTTTGAGAAAGACCGCAAACAGCAAAAATTAACCACCCAAAACGACCGAAGAATGCAAATCGTCTTCAGCCGCCAAGCTCCCCAAATTATCCATAACGAAGTTCAATGAAAAGATAGAAGAATGGCTCCCATTCTGCGGAAAATTTACCTCCGAAATAGATTCTTCTAATCTGGCACCCCTCACTAAATTTGGATATCTGAAAGAGCTGTTGGAGAAGCACGTGAGGAAGGATATTGACGGGCTACCATTTACAGATGAAGGATACGCAAACGCAAAGGCTATTCTCGAAGCGGAATATGGACAGCCGACAGAGATTGTTAATGCGTATATTAAGAACATTATGGAGCTGCCAATTATTACCGGCGCAAATCCGAGAAAGGTCAAAGAGTTCTACAAATAACTGCGCTTCAACGTACAAAGTTTAGACACGCTCGGACAACTCGCAGATGTCAAGGGAAACGTCAGATGTACTTTAGACAAGCTCAAAGGAATCAAAGCTGATTTGGTGCGTGGGAATCAAGGCTGGAAAGACTGGGGGTTCAAAGATCTTTTGAGGGAGCTACAGAAGTGGACCCAAATTAATCCAGTGGAAGAGATTGCCGTAGAAAAATTAGAGAAAGACCAAACAGGGAAAAGAAATCAACAATTTAAACCGCCCCTACCTATCTTCAATACACATCAATCAAAGCCGCGTTCCGGAAACCAGTGGGTCTACTGCGAAGATGACAATCACAGAGCAATTAATTGTACAAAGGTCACAAGTGTTCATGAGAGACAGAAAATTCTATCAGAGAAAAAACTGTGCTTTAATTGCACCGGTACAAGACATCGCGCTGATGAGTGTAAGGGCAAATAGAGGTGTCAGATCTGTGATCGCAAACATCACACGTCCATTTGTCACGAGCAAGAGAACCAAGCCAATCCACTCCTTGTCGCCATAGGAATTCCAACCGGAAATGTGACATATCCAGTTGTTGTTGTCGAAGTAGAAGGAATTAAATGTCGCGCTTTGTTGGACGCAGGTGCTGGGAGCTCGTACGCATCTGCAGCCCTTTTGGACCGCATTTCAAGCATTGGGCACAAGAAAGAAGTCCGGAAAATAGAGATGTTGCTAGGAGCGTCAACAAGAGAAGTGGAGCTGGCTACTATCACCATTTCTGATGAAAACAGAAAATTTTAAATGCCCGTGGAAGTCACTAAAGTAGACAAAGGAGAACTGCTTATCCTAGAAAACCCAAAGTATCAAGAAGTGATCGCGAGAAACCCACACTTGTCGGGAGTTGTTATGAACGATGTGGACACAAAGAGTCGCTTACCAGTGCACATAATACTAGGAGCCAGTGACTTCGCTAAATTGAAAACCGAGAGCGTACCGAAGATCGGTGAGCCTGAGCAGCCTGTGGCTGAGTTGACGAAATTCGGTTGGATTATCATATCTCCAGGAAAAGAACCTCTGGACTTAACAAACGTACTGTTAACTCAAACATCACATGTGGACTACGAGGAACTTTGTCGTCTTGATTTACTTGGCTTGTCTGACACACCCCCTAACGACCAGAGCAGCGTGTATGCCGAATTCAAAGAGCAGCTTGTGCGACATGAGGAGGGCTGGTACGAGACTGGTTTACCTTGGCGAGGAAATCATCCTGTGCTACCAAACAATAAGGACGGAAGTCTACGAAGACTTGCAAGTCTAAACAAGAAGCTTGAGCGTCAGAAACTTACAAGTCAATACGGAGAAATCATCGAGGAGCAGAAAAAAGGAGGAGTTGTCGAGAGAGCAGAAGAGTCCTCAGTCAACGGCCGAGAATTCTACATACCACACAAACCTGTCGTGAGAGCCACGGCAGAGTCAACGAAACTGCGAATTGTATACGACGCTTCGGCAAGGGCCTTCAACAGCGCCCCTTCACTCAACGACTGTTTGTATACTGGCCCACCTCTTCAGAACAAACACTGGAGCGTTCTAGTAAGAGGGCGCTTTAACCCTGTGGCCATTACTGGCGATTTACAGAAAGCATTTCTACAAGTGAGAGTAAAGGAGATTGACCGAGACGCAATGCGCTTTCACTGGCGCCGAGACGAACAATCGCCATTGGAGACCCTGAGATTTACCAGAGCTCTATTTGGACTTGCGCCATCTCCCTTTCTGCTGGGGGGAGTGATCGAGATTCACTTTAACAACTGGGAGGAGAGAGAGCCAGAACTAGTAGCCAAGATTCGCAAGGAACTGTACGTTGACGACTTAATCTCGGGGTCAACAACAGTGTGCAAGACTCGAGAACTAAAAGATAAGACTAAAGAAATCTTCCAAGACGCTTGTTTCAACCTGCACAAGTGGCACTCAAACGTCCCTGAGTTGGATTCAGAGCAGTCTCCTAAAGAAGAAGGAGAACCAACCTACGCAAAGCAGCAGTTAGGAGTCCCACAAGGAACATTTTCTAGTAAGCTTGGACTCCTGTGGAACAAAGAACAAGACTCACTTAGCATCACAGTCCCACCAGAGAAAGCAACGCTGACTAAGAGAGGTATCTTAGCTAAGCTAGCTAAGATATATGACCCCCTGGGACTTGTCTCGCCTGAGACACTTTGTGGCAAACTCGTCTACCGCGCAGTTTGTGATACGAAAGGAGCCTGGGACGCACACCTATCACGTGACCTTGCCAAGCTGTGGGTCAAGTGGGAAAGCAGACTACCAGAAAGGTTTGCGGTACCGAGATCTCTGGTTGTTCATCGAGAGGAAATCGAGCAAATCGATCTGCATTCGTTTGGAGACGCGTGTTCCAATGGAGTCGCAGCTTGCGTTTATGCAGTCATCCGACAAGCATCCGGAACTAAGCAGGGCCTAATTGCAGCCAGATCGAGACTGTCCAAACAAGGACTGACCATCCCGCGGTTGGAACTGGTCTCTGGTCACATGGCTGTGAACCTTGTTGACAACGTGAAAGACGCTCTGGACGGGCTTCCTGTAAGAAGTACACACTGCTGGCTGGACAGTTCAGTGGCCTTGTACTGGATTCGAGGGCAAGGAGAGTACAAACAGTTCGTGGCCAATCGCGTGCAAAAAATAAACAGTCACAAAGAGGTGACATGGCGGTATGTTCCCACAGCAGAGAATCCCGCTGATCTTGCAAGTCGTGGAAGGCACGTAGAGAAAGCCGATCTGTGGTGGCATGGACCAAAGTGGCTTGGATTTCCAGAACATTGGCCAGCGGATGTACTAAACGAGCCGTCAGAAGAAAGCCAAACTGAAGTCAAACTTGTGCAGAAAGTGCTCGGAGTCGCAGTAAACGAGAAGAACGAGATTGCAGAAGTACTACACAGGTTTCAGTTACAGAAAGCTGTACGTATCTGTGCGTGGATGCGGAGATTCGCACACAACTCTCTCCGTAGCCGAGGAACACCACGCATTAAAGGACCATTGACAACTGAAGAGACGAACCGCCAGAGGCTCTTCTGGGAGAAACAGGCTCAGAGGAGTTGTGACATTGAACGAGATCGCGTGGCGTTGAACCTACAGCCAAACCAGGAGGGACTATTAGAGTGCTGGAGCCGAATACAAGGAGAGTATCCAGTTTACATACCAGAAACCAGCATACTTGGCCTCCGACCAGTAGAGGAAGCACACAAAGAAACAATGCATGGGGGAGTGGGGCTAACAATGGCCAGGGTTCGTGCCCGTTACTGGATTCCAAAATTGAGACAGCTGACGAAGAAAGTGCGCAAGAGCTGTCATGGGTGCAAGAAGTTTCAAGCATCGGCATATGCAGCCCCGCCGCCTGGAAACCTGCCGACTACCCGTACTCAAGGGACCAACCCGTACCAAGTGATTGGAGTGGACTACGCTGGTCCAATCCGATATCGAGTGTCTAAACAGCGAGAGGGAAAGGCCTATGTCCTGTTATATGCCTGCAGTCTTACGCGAGGAATTTAACTTGACCTCCTACCAAACCTGGAAACAGAAAAGTGCCCAAAGAGTTTGAAGCAGTTTATTGCGCGCCGAGGACGGCCGGAACGAATCTATTCAGACAACGGCCGAACCTTCGTTGGCGCAGCAAACTGGATTAGAGCTGTCATGAAAGACGAACGACTGCAGACATGCCTCTCCATCAATCAGATCAAATGGCAATTCAATCTGAGCCACGCCCCGTGGTGGGGAAGGCAGTTTGAAAGATTGATTGGTTTTGTCAAGTCAGCCCTAAACAAGACAATAGGGAATGGGCTACTATGGTGGAACGAGTTACAAGAAGTCCTACTGGACGTGGAGATCACGCTTAACAACCGGCCATTAAGCTACGTAGAAGATGACGTGCAGATGTCCCTTCTGACACCGAATGCTATGTTGTTTTTGAACAGCAATTTGCTCCCAGAATTGCAGCCGCACCACATTGAGACCGTTGACCTGCGAAAGCGAGCAAAACACTTGCTGAAGTGCAAGGAAGCAGTATGGAGCCGATGGACCAAAGAGTACCTGCGCAGTCTTCGTGAGAGACACCGTGCACAGCGAGGGGCTGGAGGAGACACGCCGGCTGTTGGTGACGTAGTGATCATCAAAACAAAAGACAAGAACAGAGGGAAGTGGCCGCTGGGAATCATCGAAAATTTGATCGTTGGAAATGACGGAGTCGTTAGAGGAGCAAAATTGCGCGCAGGAAAGTCCTACGTGGAACATGCGATCCAACAACTTTACCCGTTGGAACTATCGTGTGACAGGCAAATGACAGCATCCCAGGCGGGGATGAACCCAGAGGTTGCTCCATTTCGCCCAAGACGGGATGCTGCAGTTGCAGCACGCCTGCGTTTGCAAGAGATTATCCAAGAGGAAGTCTGAAATGAACAGTCCGAATGAACAGTGCTATCAGCTTGCATTTAGCTGACGAACTTACACTATAGAGAGTCGTTTTGTTTACCTTTAAGAAATGATTATCAATATGATGAGTGTGAACATTTTATTCCAGGCCGTCAAACTTGAGTGAAAAACATGAAGGGAGTGTATCGAGAATCTGATTACGCAATATTAAATAAGGGTGTGACGCGGTTAATATTTTACTGGAACTGATCAGAGACAATAAGAGATTTTTGTACACGAGAGTGATTTAGTCGATCTATTTAATGAGCGAGCGGTGGAAAATTCTTCGAGAGTGAATATTGTAATCGAGAGTGGTTAGCGTTGAGCAGAGAATTAAAGCAATTTACAACACTTGACAAAAGTAAAACTAAAATAAGACAATAACCCTTCTAGGCCAAATGTGTACGAGTGCTGTCAGAAAACAATCCAATCTGAGAGGTAGCCTTAGATTCCGTGCCATCCCATTCATCACACATTACCTAGTATCCTCATTTGTAGCCAGAGCAAGTTGATAGCCAGGGTGTACTCTTACGACAGTATACATTAACAAAAAGTTCTAAATTGGCCAACATCAAGTGAAAGACGAGGTCATACTTAGAAGATGAGTTTTGTACTCAAGTTAACGGAATCACTGTTGTTAGGTCAGTTTATCTGTGAGTAGCTCTTTCTGGAAACCAACCTTTATTTGTCCTTTTTTCCACTGCGGTCGTCAGGCTACTAAGCGTCTCTTGAATCTCCTTCATTTCAATCTCCATCTTCTCAGTTTTGTTTCCGAGGTCACCTGGCAAATCTGAAAATGTAAGAAAGATAGCCGCAATGTCATAAGCACATTTACATCACAGATTTACGTTTAGAAAACGTCACGAGCTGGCCTACACCGTCGCGGGTGTCCTTCGGGAGAAAATTCATACGCGCGCTAGTTTCACTAAAATCCTAGCAAACTATGTATCAGAAGAAAGCTTGATAAATGCAGTTAAGGATAAAATGTTAATTTAAGCGACCTTCCTTTTAAGGAAGTGTAAGGAGCCGGTAAAGCGTGAAACGACCGAAGGTTCTTATCGGGTATCGGATGCTGCAGCACGAGAAAAATGGCTCCACAGTCTCATTCACAAGGCATGAATCAACATAAGTTTGTCAGGCTTTTTCTTTATTCTGATTGGTTGCGTAGATAACGGCATCTTAAGTTGGGGTAGCTAAAAATACGCGAGTCGTGTTACGTAAATGGACGCCATGGGACAAATATTTCAAATATCAAAATTTCCCACCACAGTTTCATTTGTTATTATTCCTAGGATATTCCGGCGAAATTTGACGAAAATCGGTCAAATCTATATACTCTATAAATTCGCTCAAAGTGGTTGTATTCCTCCCAAAATCAAATGCGAGATTTTAGCTCCTAAAGGTTCGCAAATAACTCGCGCCATACCAGGAGATTATCTCGCCCCCTGAAACCGTAAACCAATAAAACAACGTGACTTCCTGGCGTCAATGACGATGGATCAAGATTTCCCGGGAAAAGTAACCCATTGCAGACACTTTTTTTTTTTTAAATCTCGATCGCTTAGTAGAGCGTTGAGGAAGACGACACAATAATGACCATCATGTATGGCAAATATTGGTTTGACGGCGACTTCCTATTCCAGAGAAATTGAAAAACTGAATCTTTTTAAGATAGGATGATATCTATCTCTCTCTCTCTCTCTCTCTCTCTCTCTCTCTCTCTCTACAGGACATGTTTACAACGGCAGAAAGGTAGCCTTGGGTTCCGTGCCATCCCATTCATCTCACACATTACCCAGTATCTTCATTTGTAGCCAGAGTAGGTTGGTAGCCGAGGTGTGCTCTACCAACAATACATTAACTAAAAGTATGTTAAATTTGCTGACTTCAAGCGAATAATGTGGTCACGCTCAAAAGATGTGTTATGTATTCAAGTTAACGGTATCCATGTTGATAGTTCAGTTTATTTAAGAGTAGCTCTTTCTAACAACCAACCTTCATCTGTGCTTTTCTCCACTGTAGTCGTCAGGCTACACAACGTCTCTTTAACCTCCTTCATTTCAATCTCTATCTTCTCAGATGTGTCTCTGAAGTCACGTAGCGAATCTGGAATGGTAAGATAAGCACAATTTCATAGGCACATTTACATCACTTTATGTCAAACTTTATTGGGCATGATCAAAATGAAAAATGTACAAACATGACGAATTAAAGCCCAAAGGGTATGGGCACGAACGGGAAACTCAGACCCATGCGGGGTGCCTACCCAAGGAAAGTAGAGGGATTTAAAATATATACAAAAAAATAAAATCTGGTCGTAGTAAGAGGAAAATCTAATTGTACAAAATTGTCATCTAAAGGTAGAGAAATCTAATTGTAATAAAAAAAAATTTTAAAAATATACGACAAGGATGGACTACAATCAAGGTTTATTTATTAATCGCTCCTGCTTATCACAGTCGAGCACTCTAGTCGAAGCCGCAACGCGCAAAGATGGAACAGATAAGATTTAACTACTCGATGAAGAATATACCTATACCTCCCAGAAACTCCTACCTAAAAAGTCTAATCGAAAAAGTCGAAAGCGTTATTAAACGAATGAGATGGAAAGCTCATTTCCACGGAAAAAAAAAACTCTGATGAAAGAAACCAACACACACACAACGCCGATTCCGACACCGAACCGACGATAAATACGGATTTAAATCCCGAAAATGCCACCCTCAACATGAAGATCTGGATAGATTCGAAGCAGACCTCGTGGACATGGTAAACAACATCCAATTCAGAAAGACACAAGACGAATTTCAAACCCAGCGAAATAAGGACATACAAAGAATCAAAAGCTCCACGAAAGCCTTCATTCCCGCCGACAAAACAACTAACCTCTACGAACTCGACAAAACACAACACGAAAAACTAGTACAAAACAGCATAACGACAACCCACAAAAAGGCGAGCAAAGGCATTTTTCACAGTATTAACCAAGAAGCAAAAGCCATAGCAACACTACTCGACAACCAAGACCGAACCGAACGCATAGCAGAACGACAACCCTTCATATCGCTCAAAGACCACAAAGAGAATGTCGCCAAAAATCCAACCTGCAGCCTAATCAACCCAGCCAAAAGCGAAATTGGTCGAATAAGTAAACAAATACTCCAGAGAATCAACACCGACGTAAGAAACAAAACATCCCGTAACCAATGGAAAAATTCCTCCTCTATAATCGACTGGTTCAAAAATATTCCCGACAAGCACCTTCACGCCTTCACCGTATTCGACATCGAAAGCTTTTACCCTTCCATATCTGAATCAAAGTGCTCTGTGAGCAAACTCGTGAATTGACACATGATTTTTTGGACTATGTTTAATGTTATCTGGTTTAGGGAATTTTGAGGTTGATTGTCATATCTAGAGTACGAGCAGTAGTTCAGTGTTCGCAGCAAAGAAGCAGAGTAACGTTGGGATAAGAAGGCATTACAATTGAAATGATCATGCTATTACGTTTGACATGGGTGGATGATATCACGTGTTTTAAACGTATATCATTTTTGTTTCTGGTTCAAAAGAAAAGGTTGGAAGTAAATGTGGGTGAAAAGTGAAATTTACTGCCTATCATTTTAAATATTAGAAAACCAAGGCAATACTGTCTTAATGAAAACATTAATGATTCCCTCTTTATCAAATGAGACAATCGGGAACAAGTTTTGAGTAATATAACTAAGCCAAGACTGCCACCGTCATTTTGGATCTCCGCCTGGGTAGATTTTAGTCACGTGCTAGGCAACGTATAATCAAGAATAAGATAGAATTTCATCTCAGGCCTATTTATCAATTTTGTGGTGTATAATTTTCGCATTTTAGTACGTAATATTTATTTTGAATCTTCAAATTGTCTTGAAAAGAAAATTGTGCTTTAAAAATTCACTGAAAATCGGTAGCTAAAATTGTTTGTTTAGGTGTTATTTGATTTTCGTGATAACTTGTAATTTCGTCAGTCGCCGGCATCTTTTGTCGCTTCAAACAGGAAAAACACACGATACGAAACGTAATGATCGATTTTGTCCTAAATCTCACGCCATAACAGAAAAAGCTTTTGAACATCTGTAAACTCCGAGCGCTTCGCAGTAAGTGATATTTTCAATGAATCTTCGGATTGTTTTCAAGTTCAAGGATTGAAAATTACAATTTTATGAAAAACGAAGGTTGTTCTGTTATTTCAGTGTGAATCCTTGCATGCCTGCCAGTCGCTGGCGCCGCTTATTGAAACTAAAACGAAAAAAAAACTCTTTTAAGATTATCATTGGCTTCTTTTTCACCCCACCACTATTCTTAGCCACAAAGGTCGCCATTTCGTTTGTTTATTGCTCGCCAAAAACTATCAAATGCACTCAAAAGCCTAAAATCGAAAAAAAGTTTACAGGAATCGACCAATCGAGCGAGCGAGCGAGCGAGTGCCATTCTCCACATCATATCTACAACTCGCTCTTGCGCATGCGCGCAATTCACGAGTTAAAAACTACCAACCAACGCTAACCACTTCGCTAGGAAACACACCAAGATATCCAAGCAAGACACTAATATTGTCAAGAATTCCAGAAAATCAATCCTACTCCACAACGGATCACCCTGGGTGAAAAAAGACAACGATGGTATGTTTGATGCAACAATGGGAAGCTTTGACGGCGCAGAATTATGCGAACTAGTCGGACTTTCATCTTGAACGACCTCGCAAACAAATACGGAACAAACAACATCGGACTCTACAGGACTCGCCATTTTCAAGAACACAACAGGACCTCAAGCAGAAAGAACACGGAAAGAAATAAGAAGGCGCTTCAAAGAACACGGACTGAAAATAACAATCCAAAGCAACTTACCTACAGCTGCATGCCGAACATTGGCAGCATCATCAACAACCACAACAAGAAACTCCTTACCTACACCACCACCACACCGCAAAACGGATGAAACTGTGGAAAAAAAGACCAACGCCCGCTAGACAACAACTGCCTCACCACCAGTGTAATCTACAAAACCAACGTGACCACAGACAAAGACGACACAGGAAAGAACTACATCGGACTAACTGAAGGAACATTCTAACAACGATATATGCAACATAAACTATCATTCCGTTACAGAAAATACACCAACCGCACCGAACTAGCAAAACACATCTGGAAACTCAAGGACAACAATGAAAACTACAAAATAAGCTGGTCTATCACCTCTTCAGCAAGCGCCTACAACAACATTTCCAAACGATGTCACCTCTGCCTAACTGAAATATTATACATTATTAAAGCCGACAAAGCAAACAACCTTAACAAAAGAACTGAATTAATTTCCAAATGCCGCCATGAGAACAAATACTCCCTAGTGAACATCGACACCAGATTACAATAGACTTACTAATTAACTAACTACTGTATATATATTTAAACTAAGTGAGGTATACTCGTCATTAAAATCTGTCTGATGATCGCGTAAGCGTGAAACTCAGAGTCACAGAAAAGTTGTCTTATTGATTTGTCCAACTTTCAGATATATATATATATACACACACATATTTTTTTTTACAATAAATTAAACACATATTTCATAAGTCCTTTTTCTCCAAACAAATTTTGATCAAAATAGTAGATTTCGCTTGGTAGATAAGCTTGGTAGATAACGAGAACTAAACTTCATTTGCAATTTTCGTCAGGCGCACTAGAATAATGTGTGAAGTTTCGACGCGCATTGAGACTTTTAAGTCAGAGTTTAGTGGAATTTGAGTCAATATATTTTAACATTGTGTTACCAGTATCGGCAAAAAGCAGAAAAAAACCCTGATTTGCTCACTTTTCATATGAGCAGACCAGGTCCACATAGAAGACATTCATTAAAACAGACTTTTACAAATTCTTCAAAAATGATTCAACGCGGCTAAGATAGGTAAAAACACTAGGGAAGGCTTCACGGCATAAGTTGTTCCACAGTTTTACGATACGGACAAAATACGAAGCTTGCAAAGTGCTGGTCTTACAGGCCGGAAAGGCAAGATAACAGCCAGCAGACTGACTAAAGCGTGTACATGGATGATTGTTAAAAGTTACATAATCAGAGACGTCAATATCAATGTGTCCGTAAACAGCTTTGTAAAAGAAAACAAGATCCTTGATTTCTCTATCGTAAGCAAGAGGTAGCATATCCAAGGCGAGCTGTTTCTCCACATATGACATCTGGCCTGGTTTCAAACTTAAAATCCATCTGGTGACAGGTCGCTGAACTTGCTCAACCTTAACTTCTAGTGACTTCTGAGCAGGAGATCAGGCCTCTGTAGCGTAATGCGGGTATCAGCGGCCATCCCGAGGGGTCGATCCCCGGGCAACCCAAGGGCAACCCACGGGCTTAGCAGGGGATTTGTAGCAAAGGCATGCCCCGCACGTGGAGCATTAGAGCGCTTTTGCGTTTTTGGCAAAATACCCCGGGGCCATACCCACGGGATTTGCACGTAATCTGCTGTCTCAACGTTCAGCGGTTTTCGCCACAGGACAAGCAAGCTCGCTCGCTCGATGTTCTTCTAGCCCTCGAGGTAATATTTTCCTGTGTTACATGGTCAAGTATTGTGCTGTTGCTCTGTGCCGTAATGGAAGTAAGAAACGACCTGATCTTAGTTATTTTTGCTTTCCTACAAGGCCCAATGAGCGTAAGAAGTGGGAGGTTTTCTGTAAGCGAGCGGATAAAAAATTCAAGACACTCGGCGATCCAAGAATCTGTTCATTGCATTTTAAGGAAAGCGACATCGAGATTTCAATTTCATACGGTTAGTTCGCATTCGAAGCGTCTTGCCGATAGGAAGAGACAGTGTGATGAACAACCGCAAGCCAAGAAAGTTTGCCCCAGAAAGCTCGAATTTGAGGACTCCATAGAGACTTGTGTGGATTTTAGTGCTGATGTGGCTTCAGTAAACCATGATCACTTGTACTTTTGCATCGAGGAACAGGCAACACCGACTATATGTTGCCCAGGTTGCTCCAGGGATGGGGGTATTTGTCCCAATTTTTTGCCCTACCCGAGGGGCTTTAGCATGTATTTGTCAAGGCAGCTGTGACAAATGCCCCTGGGTGCCCGGGGGTCGACCCCTCGGGATGGCCGCTGATACCCGCATAACAAAGGCGAGGCTTCACAGTCGCTATATATAAGGACCTTCTTACTGCCACTTGAGTAAACAATGACATGATCTCTTCAAAAGACCTATAAGTTTGTTTGCTTTTGCTGTATCAGGTGAACATGTGGGTCCCAGGTAAGTTTGTCCGAGGTAACTACACCCAGATCCTTCTCCTCACGCACGCGCAGTAAAACTTACATATCTAGGCTACGATCATACATATGTCAAAACACCATCAAATCCGAGAGGTAGCCGGGGCAGAAAATCTCAGATTCCGTGGTATCCCACCCATTACAAAGTATCTTCATGTACAGCCAGTGCGAGTAGTGGCCAGGGTGTGCTCTTAGATCACTAAAGTACTAAAATATGCTGTGTTAGCCGACATCTATCGACTACTGTCGTCATGCACGAGAGCTGTGTCGCTCTTAAAAATTTTTTTCTGTGATCTCTCTTTACCAACTAAACTTATTGTGTGCGTTTTTCAACTGAGGCCGTCAGACTACTAAGCTTTTCTTTCACCTGTTTCATTTCAATCTCTATCTTGTAAGTCGTGTCTCTGAAGTTTCTCTCCTTAATGCCTCTCATGTTTTCCAGCGAATCAGAAAATTTCGAAAGGTATGCGCAATTTCATGAGCATATTTATATCAGAACCTCACGTTAAGGTGCACGTAAAATAATGATACGTATATCGATATCTAGTCGATTCCGAATACATCAAACTCAAGTAGCAGTTGTACACGAGTAGCCACACAGACAAAAATACTGCCAATGAAAACAGGATGTCAACATGTGGGTTATTTCTTCATTTTTCACACATAACGCTAGAAATAATGTTCCAAATATGAGTCGTTCCGACCAAAATGAAAACATCATGAATTAGCCTACACTGTCGTGTTTAACTGAAAATATCTACTTTTGTAGCCTTCTGATTCATCCATATTAGCATTGGACAATGTTTTTCTTACCTTCAATTTCTTCAAGTTTGTCTTTGATGCTGTCATCGTCTTTCTTCCATTGTTTCATCAGTTCACGATAATGTTCCTCGATATCTGGATCCATGCAGTCATGCTCAAGACTGTCGATTTCAGCTCTAAAATGAGTTCCTCCCAATCTCACCAAAGCTTCTCGTATTTCCTGCCAGTAAGCACTGAAACTACTGTCATCCACAGAGGCTTGAGAAGCATGGCCGTAAACAGTGTTCCTGTAATATTTAACTCTGGCGATGTCATCTGCGATGCTTATGTTTGCAGCTAGGGGAAGACGATCCCATCCATTGGCAGGAGGGCCCAAACCACAGATATTTCTAAGAAGCACCGTTAGGAGTGTGATATCGAAGGCTGTAGAAGACACGGATGAGTGAGTAGGGTACAACTTGCCCCATTGCGTGGGATTCAGCACTTTCTTCTTCCCTTTGTACAGTGATTGCAATTTGGCGTAATGCACTGAGGTACTTCCCAAAACTGTATGTAGAGTCGCTGGTGGATGCATTTTGTCAAAGGTGGACCGAAGCACCCGAGATCCAACATCCACCAAGAGGCGGCATAGCCTTGCATAGTTGGTAGTGTCTTTCGAGGACGTAAATGACGCAGAGGTTGCAGCCATGACATTTATGTTTAAGGAACAGCCTATGAAAAATTATTCGTGTCAGATATAATTTTTACCATTGAGTCCACAAGTTTCATCGTAGATAAATCAAAAGCTTGGAATGTGGAAGGTTAAACACTCAAGAGAAATTCCATATCTACGCCCGCCCATGTGTTATTCTCTATTTAACTTCTTATTGGTAGAAAAACATTCTGACGACCTTTCTAATCTCAAGAAAATCAGAGCGACGAAGTCGTCACGAAGGACATGAAGCATTACACTGAGTAGAAGACCTCACAATTCTTTGCTAGTCTCAAATTGGTATGCGGTAATGCTGATTGGATTCCATTGCACCATTTAGCAGTACCTTGATTTCATTAAATGATTGACACGAGGGACAATACTCTGATTGGTGCAAACCTATCCCAATGCTGTGATCTGATTGGCGCGTGATACGCACCCGTCTGTGGCGATTAGATTGGTGCGGGCAACATACCAGTCGTTACACTTTCGTAAAGTTGTTTTTTTTAGAGAAAAAAAATTAACCAAAAAATGGTTACGGGCAATTTAACGTTTTCTGCGAGTGGTGTTTGATTTTCAGTTTTCTCCGGTACGTCTTTATGAACAATCAAATATGTCACTTTTCTGTAACAATAACTTAACGGTCTCTCATCTCGGATTAAATTTTTAACGACCGCTTTTATCATAGTAGAAAAATGGTTGAAAATTGGGGAATGTAACGTTGGGTATATCTTCGGATATTCCCCAGTTTTAGCTGGGGCACACTCGACGTGATGCGCTTAAAACAATCGCGCGCGCGAGCAAAAATATTGGATAGACTTCAACAATCATCATCCCTATTTTCATAATAACCATTGCTCTTGATAATTATCTTTTATAAATTTATAATATATTATTGCTCAAATCTGTTTGGTTTTTCTCGGCGTCATATTGTTTGTTTCTTAATCTGGCCTATTAAAGCTAAAATATCCCATTTTTCTTGTCTGATCTTAAGCTTAGGGAGCACAGCGATGATAAAAACAGCTTTACCATCCAAGAATGAAGCATTTAAAATAAAGAACAAAGACATCGAATGCACACACTTTAAAGTCATTCCCACTGCAGAGAAAGGCCTTTGAATGGAAATTGCTGGCTTTTTAATCAAAATTTATTGCAATTTTAATTCCCTTGGCAATACCTATAGGCCTCTTTTCTTAACTTTCTTTGTCAGCAAAGCAAATAGTTCCAATAAACACTACAAACAGAATAATATATGGGTGCCCGTAGATATGGAATTTACTTTAAGTTGAACACGAAAAGAAAAATTCCAGATCTACCTTGAGACACAATAGCCCTTTACTGACAAGAAAAGCCGACTTCATTAATAAATAAATGAATCGACAGTCCTCGAATAACAATCGTACAGTGCGTTGGCGCTAGCTCTCAAGAGAGAACAATGCGTTGAATCATGATTCTAAAAACAACAATGGGCGTAATTTTCAATTTACAAAATTCTCATTTATTGACAAACACCTTCAAACTGGCAAAATCTGACTAAAAGAGTCGGTTTGGTCTGCCCCACAGAGAAAAACCCAGACTAAAAGCGGCAGGAAGGAAAGAATTGCAAAGTCTGATGCACTTTATGATACACTGATCAGAAATTATAGCCAACCTTAAAATTGATACTCAAAGCAGTACATTCGGCTTGAGTGAATAGGTAACATTTTACGTGCGATTTTGCTTGTTTTATCGTTGTTGTCTCCCTTGCAAATGGATAGCACCCATTAAATTAATCATTTTTTTTATCAACCTGTTGGAAACTGTGCGACACGTTAATTATTCCTATTTGATTAACATTTATAAATGATTTAGTTTATTAATACATAACTAAGTAAACATGTATGTGACACGTGTTTTATTATGGCACTGTTACAACGGGACGCTGAGTGTGTGTTTCCTTCGAATAAGCCGAGAGTTGTGAGTGGGAGTTAACCGAAGCGTTGTAGTAAAATCGTTCAATTAAGTGAATAAATTGTGAGTTAATAAGGAAGCGTGATACAGCTTTTCACGTTTCAACAAACCTTTGTGTTGTTAAGGTAAAAGTCGATTGAAAGACTTGCAAGAGATTACGAGGTGTTCTAAATGTAAGTGTCACTTTTTGAGTTTGCTCGAAAGCTTCCAAAAAGTCATGGAAAGATCAAGTATAATGGTAACCATCCAGCACTGCAGAATTATAGACACTTTCCACAAGCAGTCTACAAATCTCCATATGCAAATGTTTTCTAGCAGCAAAAACTCACTAGTTAACCCTATCACTCATGAAAACATGTTTAACTTAATCTTACCTGGTGTGGGTGATTCACTGGTATCTAAATGAAATAATTAACAAATATAGTGTTACTAAATTGAACCATTTTCGTTGCCAAAAGCACTAGAGGAATTAATTAATTCATTTAAAATATATTCCTTAATCCAAACATGGTGCAAAACAATATGAAAGTGTGCAAGCATGTACCATTACTTGCCTCACTCTGGACAGTTTTAAAATCAAAATTTATGTAGAAATGGATAAATATATTTCTAGGAGGTTTGAGACATGTGTTTGACTCGTGTATTTCATGTGTTGTAATTTGGCTGAGGGATATATTTCAACTCACTTCAAATCAAGATAAATTGGTTTCAACAAAGTCAACAGATTTTAAGTGTCTAATTTTTAAAGTTTTGGCTGTTTTACATGAATATAAACTGAGCTAACTATGGTAAACATGAAGTTATTCTCCAAGGTCATGGAAATGAACTGTCCCTCATTATTGGATTTGTCAATGCACTCATAAGTTTCTTCCCAGAAAAGTGTCAGAAGATAAATGCTGCCCAAGGGGTATCTTATTAAGTTAGCACAGCAATAGGACAAAAATTCAAAGAACAGATAAGCACATACAGTGTACAGGGACTCTGCAAGCATGTGGAAATAGATATAGCTGGAAGTAACTTTAACAGGAAATAAACTATTCTCCTGTACTGATTCTGCTGCCATTGATGCTAAAAAGTTATAAATAAAGTGGCAATGGAAACAGGTTTTCCTTGTGTTTCTACCTCTTATGAAAGTAAGGGAGGAAGGGGGCAGCTTATTCAAGGGTGGTGCTTACTAAAGCATGAGTGCTTCTTCAAGGAAATATGATGCATGTGAGTCATCTTGATTTGTGATATATACATGTTTACACGTAGACAGATCAAAATCAGATCTATTACTGTAAAAATGAAAGAAAGATTAAGATAGGAAGCAATACCTGCATTAAAGTGAGGCCAATCTTGGAACATGACTGGATCACTCAAAATTTTGGCCACTACAGATGCTGCCATCAAACAAGCAACTTCTTCCCATTTCTCACTTGAAGACTGCTTGTCATCTATAAAGTCTTTGATGCCTTTGACAGATACCCATTCAATCTTAGCATCTAACAATTGTATTCCTGAAAAAAAATTCTTTGCTCTCAAGTTAATCAAATCAGATAAGGTTACTTACATGTACCAGAGGCTAATTCCTGCAACCAGTAACTTCCTACATTTTTCACAAGACAAACTTTTGACAATTCATGCCTACATACATGCACCCAATGGAGCACAGTTGTTCAATTAAAAAATAAAAGATCCAAAATTATCAGAACAATGTGACTTTCAATTGCTCTTGTTATTTAATGGTTTGTGTTGCATTTTCTTCTTTTTGTTCCCAGAGGCATCTTAGTGGCCTTCACCTGCAAAAAGTTATTCCTGGGGCAACTTCACACAAAATCACTTCAACACAAGCTATACTGGTACATGTAATTTCTGCAAAGTTTTCATACTACTGTACATGTTACACGTATATTGTTTGTTGAATAGATGGACAAACTTCCAGAAGTGTTTTTCAAATCACTTGCAACATGTGGGAAAAGTCAGGGAAATTTGAAAAACTGCTGAAATATCCTTAGCTCATGAATCAAAATTATTATAATTCTCACCTTCACCTTCCCTTTCAGCTGCAATTACTTCAGGATATTGGTCGATTACATCTCTGTTTGCCTCTGAGATACTCAGAACCACTCCATCACAGTGCACTTTGGCATTATATTCATCCGCATTTTGCAAAGGTGCCTTCCATCCATCAGCCACATGTTTGATCAGGTTACCAATATCTCTGCAGGGGGGAGTTTTGTGTGTAGCTGTTATCAGCTTTGCTGAAACAACCACATCTCCCAACTTGACTGTCCTGCTGTTCAAGCCACTGCAGGCACCAACAGAAAAAATAGCCTTGGGTCTCAGTAGCAAGATGGTATCTCTTGAAACAGAAAAAGAACACCCAGGAGCATCAGAATTTTTGGGGCATCTAATCAATGCAATTTTCATTTCCTTTCCTTGATCATCACCCATGCACCCAAAGTACACAAACCCAGCACTGATGTGGTAACTCTTAAAAGGTTTCTGCAGGTAGGCAAAGCAGCTTAAGAACTCACATTCGTCCACTGTTAATAAAAGAATATCAACAGGAAGTTGAACAGTTTCCCAAGGACAAGTAATCCTTGGAAGATCACTCAAAAGTGGAAGTTTCCCACTTAGCTCTGGTGGGGTGGCATTGCAATCTTCTGATTTAGTTTCCACTGGCATTGGTACAAACTCTGAAAAAGAAGAATGCAATTTATATTTTCTAGATATCTGACAATGAATTTACAAACAATTTTACAAGGACATGCTGAATGTAAGATGATCAATAAATAACAATGCTTGCAGCCTTTTTATCTTAAATACGATTTATGACTGTTTTCAGTCACAGTCTGACTGATAACTTCACTGTGACTTCTTGACAAAACAATTTGGAGAAAATTCCTTTTAAGCTAACAAAGAACTATGCTTCAAGAATCAAATGAATTTTAAATCCCCTAATACAAAGGATACGAGTAAAAAAAAAATAATTTAACCACTTACCATGGTTTTAGATTTCAAAGAGCAACATAACCATTCACAATTTTTTTCTCTGAATGAGCTTTAAAATTTGAACAATCCAAAATTCTTCCTAGCTCTCTGGAAAGTTCTTCAATTAGTTTCTGATCACATTGATTAAAACATAGGCATGGTATGCATGCTTCAGTTATTTTTTTTGTTAGGTGGGTTGAGGTGGGACACCAAGTAACTGATGTTTTCATTTTTGTAAAAGAAAAAGAGTATAAACCTTATAAAGAACAAAGCTGTCACATTACTTCACCTTGAAAGAGAGAGGGAGAGAGAAATAGAGCCTTCCAATTAAACTTTCAAACCATTAGGTCACTGTTTTAAATCTTAAAAACCTGTCAGTCCCTGTCACACTTTCCTGCATTCTTTTTGAATGGTAAGGAAAAAAATCTTGTGGTTTCCAGGGCAGACTTTGTCTTTGACACCATGACTGAAATTATCAAACACTGTTCACACTACAGCACTGCTCACATATATGTTGACTGTGCAGATGCATTTCACATGCTCAGAAGCAGGGTAGTCAGACACCCATGTATGATTATTTTCTCTGCTGGCACAGTAAAAAAAAATTTAGTTGCTCTTTGTTATTCAGTGCAACAAGTTTCCTTTTTGTTGAATTGTTGTGTAAAACAAAGAACTTTTGGGTTTGAATATGGAAAATTATATAATGAAAAAAGCTATCACATTACACTCATACATGTTGTATTGCTTAGTAAATTTATCAAATAATGAGCAGTAGCAGTAGATTTGCTTGATCTGAGTTGTTGATGGATCAGAAGGGAAAGGAAAATGCCACTTACACAAGGCATTGCAACACACTCACTCATATGCTTCCCAATTTAATCATTGGAATTTAATGTTTACACACACTCCCTTGAATGTTTACACACTGGAATGTAAACAATTTGGTGTTTGCATCACATGTGATGATTGATTCAAAACTTCAAACTTACCTATGATCACCACATGTATCAATAAGTATCCTGCATTTAATTTTTTTCCCTTCCTCTTTTGAGCAATTTGGTGAACATTGAGTAATGATTTGACAAATAATAGAATGAGAAGCAAATCAGTTTTCAGAGTCATGAAGTTGTGACAGGTAACCAAATTATTACAATAAGCAAGTAGAACTTCTCAGTTTTTTGTATAATAAGCATGATGAATAAACCAGTTTTCGAGTAAAGCATGTTTACTGACAATAAAAGCTATGAAATGAGCATTTGCATGTGGGTTTGTATTCAGAATGCAGCAACTGGTTACAAATAGGCACCTTAGCTGATTCTGCTGAAATATGATACACTGGGAATAAATCTATTTTGGACGCATACCCAAGCCATTGCAATGGATGTTTTTTTTTTTATGCAAAGTGAGATATAGCTATTTTGATAAAAGAATTCCATTGGAAAATGAGCACTCATTTATATATTCCAATTATAAAGGTTGCATTAGTATGCAACTGCAAATTGGGAAGGTTGGTTCAAATGGTGATTGAAGTGAACCAATTTACTTGGTAGCCATGTAGTATTTTAGTGCTATTACATTGGAGCCCATTCTTTAAAACAATAAACCATCAACAATAGCAAAACAAAAGGCCTACCTCCTACACACTGAGGCAGATGTATCAAGCTTATGCACCCAAGTGTGATTTTTTGACAAGCATATTTTTATATTGCACTGACATGCACTTTTTGGCCTGTTTTACACGTGTTTTTTGGTCAACATATCTCTGAACAGTACTGCATGTTTAAGACTCAGTATTGACAAAAGTTACACACACCTTCAATCCCTGATTTTTGTCCAGAAATGCCAATGGAACCTTCCATGACCTCTTCCTTAGAGGCCTTTTTGACTGCTTCATCTTCATGTGATTTGTCTGTGATACAGTCATCCTCCTTCAACCACTCTCTGAAAAGAACTCGGTAATGATCCTCTATATCTGGGTCCATACTGTCAGTTTCAAGATCATTGATGATATTCTCATAATGGGCCCCTCCAATACGCAGAAAGGTTTCTTTGATGTTGTTCCAGTACAAACTAAAGGTTGGATCATCAACTGAAGCCTGCGTAACAAGACTATAAATTTTGTCCCTAAAGAACTTGATGCGAGTGATGTCAGCTACTGTAGAAGTATCTGACCATGGTGGAAGGTTATTCAAGCTGGAGGCAGGGAGAGTCAGACCAAAGATATTCCTTAGAAGTAGCAGCAGTAGGGAGCTGTCTAAGAACTTTGATGAAACTGATGATCTGATGGCAGGATACAGTCTGTACCACTGGGAGATATTCAGGACTCTCTTCTTTCTAAGTGTTAGTAATTTTGCTTGGTTTGAAGGATGAGCCAGAACTGCGTGAAGGTTTGCTGGTGAACATACTTTGTCAAAAGAATCCCTTAACACAAGAGATCCCACCTCAACAAGAAGGCGACACAGCTTGGCATAATTTAAGGTTTCTTTCGTATAAGGGTATGATGATGTTACAGAAGCCATGAAGTCATGTCTCCTATAGAGAAATACTTATGATTATTACAGGCAATGCAATATAAAAATGTTCTAGGCCACAAACAAAAAAACCAATGGCAAGAACAAAATAGCTGTAGCAAATTAATTTAATGCCTTTTTTTTAAATCTGTGGGTCCTGAAAAAGTAAATAAGATTGATTTTCTTGTGTGTGAATGTAACAACATTCCTTTACACACATCCTTTGTATTGTGAAGCCATCCATTGTCTGAACAATTCCATTTGAAACAGTATCCTCTGCCCAGTACTGTAAAGAATATACAATATGTGAATGATCTCCCCATGATAATCAAGAATTGTTCCTCTGCATACTACATTCACAAAACTAGACCTCTCCTCTCCGTTCCTTGGGAATATGTTTGTTTACATTTATATTATTTGGTATGCTGTTTTTATTAGTATCAGAAATGCTAGAGATTTGAAATACTTGATTCAAGTGTGATCAAGAATTCATGTTTCAAGTACTTTGTCCTTTGCTATTGTTTTGCTTGCAAGAGTGAAATCATTACCTTAAAACTGTAGATCAAAATCCTGAAAAAAAAAGCTTTTGGAGGGTCTTGATCCTCCATTCTTGATCCCTGATTCTCAACAGTTTCAAGGATTGAGAATGGAGTTTCAAGTCAAAACTGTCAACTCAATGTTGAGTGGTACTATAGCAGACAATAAGGGAACCTTTTTTAATTCTATGAGGCCACTATCTTTCTGAAAGCCTCCTCTTGTGTAATTAAATGCTTTGACCATCTTTCTCAACCTTGTTTAGCCGACAATGGTAAATTTTGGTAGACAAAATAGGATTAAAGGTTTCTTGTGCATTTTTAAAGGTAAAACAAGAAGCCATCTGAATCATATTGTAATTTCATTGCTACTGGGGGAATTTCACTCTGATAGGAGTGAGGAAATATATGATATAATTCAAGTGAAAAAATGATCCTTCACACCTTTCTTTATTATGGTGCTAATTCTCTACATCTAATTTTAATTAATTACTTGTTTTCACTGTCCCTTGGCACAGAAGATATTATCTTGAGAATTTCCCTAATTTTCTAAGCAAATCTGGCAAAATTTGGCAAAATAGTAGACAGTTGGTGAACACACATCAAATACTACCGAATGTGAAAACATAATGGTCTGAATACTGATAAGTAGATGGTTCCAAAAATACAAACATCTTTAACCAACATGCAGAAAGCATTAATTGAAGCACTAAGCCAGGAGTTATACGTTTTGGCACAATAGACACATTTCATAACAATTATTAACCAGGTGAATCAAGTCCAAACAGTCGTTAATTCAAGAGTTTGTTTCATGGTATTTGAGACTAAAACTGAACCACCATCAATGTTTATTTACAAGTGGGGTGATAGCTCGATTTGTAAAAAAAATTATAGAAAAAAAAACAACAATTATGATAATATAAAAACCAAGTAGAAGAAAATTCGAAGCTCTATTATGGCCAGGTTTGATACGAGAGAATTATAACACATGTCAGATTCTGGCAAAGTTCGATTCCCAACGATATTCTTGTATGCAGCGTGATGTGTGCAGTGAGTACAATGTTCATGAGATAAACTCCGTAAAACCTGCCTTCTGATTCGGGCTGTTCGAGACAACAGCTGCACTCTCGTGCAGTTTCTCTGAATTCACTACGAACGCAGTCGACCATTTCAAACTGTTTAGTCTTTCAGACGCATCGTTCCTATCAACACACACGTTCTCGCTCGAAGCGATACGGCCCTTACGGCAACCAGGTTTATTTCCCAGCAAGGTTGAGAAATTACGCCATCCAAAATGGCAGCGTCATTGCTCGATTTTCGAGTTTCATATGGTTAGGAAACGCTTTGAAGGCTGAAACTTAGGTGAGTATTCTGTCCTTAAAGCCGAATCCGGAAAAATGGTAAGGAATGAGTAGCCAAACATCAAAAGCGGGTGGATGTGGAGGTATTAAGTATAACTATGAGCACCGATTCGCCAAAAATTCGAAAATGTAAATCCACAAGAACCGAAGCACTAAGCCACGAGGCTAAACAACTTGGCTCTACAGACACATTTTCCTCGCTATTAGTTACAGGGATCAAGTTGGAAAGTTTATAGTAAATGGATGACTTTACCTTGGCAAAAATCGTCCGCTCAAGTACGTTAAATACGTCCAACTCAACCAGAAAGTAGGCACGAACGTAAAAACTTCCCAGAAGTCCTGGGATTCCTGCATTAACTGCGCATGACTCTAGTTTTAAGCAATAACTTCCGGTTAACTCCTGCGCATGCTTGTAATAGAGCACACGGTCCTCTACGCCAGCGGAGGAAAAAAGAACCCTAGTTGTCATTACTAATCGAAACTAAAATTTGTTAACCAGAGGAAATACCGTATTTTTTTCTTGTGTGTCATCCAGTGCTCCTGAAGTTTGGAAGTTAAAGATGAAGAGATAAGTGATGACCTTTTGCGCAGCCTTTACGCTGTTTTCAGATTCCCGCGCGGGGTCAATCGATTGAAAGCTAGTTAATTTAGTGACGATGGACTTGGAGCGAGCAGTTTCATCTGCTTGAGAGAATTGGGCTCGGAGGAAAATGAGAATTAGGACATCGGGCAACGCCAAACTGTAGAAGCGATTGGTTTAGATTCCTGAGATGGCCTCCTACTAATACTCCTGGTACAACAGCTGATGATTGTAGAGGTGACTGCACTTGAGTGGGATGGCTACAAAACAAAGAAAAACACCAATGTTTTGAAACTCTTATAAAAACACCCAGTTATTCGCCCCTAACATACGGCATACCTTAGACAACTTTCCTAACTTTTCCTTGATCTAATTAATGATGAAAACATATCGAAAAACTTTCTTTTGACACTGCTTTGACATTTTCTTGTTATTTTAATGTACTCTGTTATTATTTCAATATTTGAGAATGAAATTATTTAACAACTTTTGTACTATTTACTTGTTCCAAAGTAACTTTAGGAAGCAAAAATAAAAATTGTTACTTGATGTGTTTTATTTTGCAACATTTTGAGACTATTACTTGACCCAGAGTTTACTGAAAACACATGCATATGAATCAAATATCCACATCCCTCCTAAATATCAAGAGAAAAAGACACACATTGACATAATTTGGACCTTGAAAACATCCCAAGCTTTGAGTTTGCTCTAGCTTCTTTCTTTACATGATTCAGTTTGCTAAATCAAGGTAGGGGTTGGTTGTTTTTTATGAAGAAAAAAAGCAAGTGTGGAAGGTTCAAATTTTGCATTTGTTAAGCTTGTGATGTTTCAAGGTTCAAGATATATTATTGCTTTACTAAAAAGAAAGATAAAATAGTACTATTTCTTCCAGACTGTTACAACTCTTAGCTCGTCTTATTTTTTAAACATTGCTTACAGTTACCAAGTGATACACACCTTACAATTGTCGAGCCTCAAGTTCAAAATTCTCCTAAACCACAGGATAAACCCTACACCACCAGCTTTGATGTCAAATTCATTATTGTCAATGAAACGTCCCATGATCCTGATCTCTGGGTTGTAATAACTCACATTAGTGACAAGCTATCTCTTTCTCGTGAAAACAAGGAAAACATCTTAAACCAGAAGGCTGGCATATAGACAAAGAAATTACTGCTGCACAGTTGTTGTTAAAGCAAAAATTTCCCTTTGTTGATGGTCTCGAAGACACTTCAATTATCAGCCCTCTTGTCTCACCTGCATTTTCTGAGTTTATTCAAGTTGTCAACAAAGGAAATCACTAAGTTTGCCTTAGCAATGTTGGATGTGCCTTTGGCCATGTAACTGTGTTTGACAGTCTTGGCACTTGGACAAAGCCAGTTGCAATTGATTGTGCATGTAGAATGTTGTTCTGTGCAGAAAGTTCAGTTAACCCTTTAACTCCCAATATCTGATTGCTAATTCTCCCCCTCTAGCTGCTACACATTTCCTTGTAAATTAGTTATGAGAACTTGGTGCTAGATCACGATAGCAGCTTCTACCTGATAAGTTTGAATATTCTGGTTACCTGTTTGCTGAAGAATGTATGGATATTATAGGGAGAAGTTTTATGTGAATCACCTCAGGGAGTTAAAGGGTTAAAGTGGTAAACCAGAAGGTGCAGCTGCAAGCCAATGGCAATGACTGTAGATTGTTTGCATAAGCATCTTCCACAGACATTTGTCATGGTTTGAATCCAATGGAAAGCTGTTATGAGGCTCAGTCCCTCAGAAGGCACTTGGTAAAGTGAATTGAAAACCACAAAATGCTGCCGTTTCCCTGCACACAGAAAAGGGTTCTCTTTCACAAGACGGTGAAAACATAAACAGTACCTATATGCTGTATGTGCATGTAGGCTACCAAATGACAGCAAGCCATCTATCAAGTGTGATCTTTGTTCAGAATAGTGCCATCTAGATTGTGTTTGAGTCCCTGAGAAAGCTGCTAAACTTAAAGAGTCATGAGTTTGTGAAAAGTGTGATGCACTGTGATAAAGAAGGAACCTTGGGATGTAATAGGTGTAATTTCTTTCACTCTAACTGAAGATTTATGGCTGACAACAAACCAAATTCCACAAGTTCTATTACATCTTAGATTAAACAAGCCTAAAGAGAAAAAGGCCATTTATTGTTACATAATTTCCTTGCAGAAATATCTTGAAAGGTGTGATCGGCGCATCATGAAAACTATATTCTTTGAAGAGAGAGCATTTCAACATCAGAAACAGTATAGTTTAATCATTATTGAAGCCTACAGGACAGAGGAACAGTGAGGTTCTTGAGCTAAGCCCCCTAAACATGACATATTAGCACTACTATTGTTTACATCATTATTGTTATTGTTGATGTAATTATTTGTTATCATTTAATTAATGGTTGAACATCAATTAGTCAGTATATTCTTGAATCATATTTCTCTTGTGGAACAGGTTACTCATAAATATGTGGGATGGGCAGGTTGTCTGTTTTGCATGTGATTACAAATCTTCTGCAACACTACCGTCTAGTGTCATTACGCAACCTCTAGTTCATTTCAATGCGATAAAAATTGTGCCATGTCAGTAGCCACATGTTGTCTTATTTGTCATTTCTCTTGGGAGCTCAAGTAAGCCGGGTTCTACTTTATCGTCTGATCAATACCACATTTCAAGACAACAACAACAACAACAACAATTAACTTTATTTGTACCCTGGATTAATAGATCACAGAGGACGTAAAAATGTGGTAAAAACATCAGTGACACACTCGGCTGCGCCTCGTGTGTCACTTATTTGTTCTTACCACATTTTGACGTCATCTGTGATCTATTACTGAACAGACACACCGCAACTTGGAATCTATTTATTAAATAGAGCATGCTGACGACACTGTTGTTCACTTTGGAAATAAAGATTGTTTTAAAAATTGAAAGTAATGCTTGGGAGTTTGCTTGGGGAATTTAACGGATTCTCTATTACAAAACAAATAGAGAAGCCTTGACTTTGCTCTGTTCTGTTGTAAAGCACTCAATAAGCAACTACGTCTTGTGTTTCTCCCTACATTTCTTTCGTGCTCAAGCCGCTTCCTGCGTGCTTTACATCAGCACAGAGCACAGTCAAGGCTTCTCTATTTGTTAAATATTAAAGGGTCTGGTACCACACAGGCGCACACACTACACAAAACACAAAACAAATTTTAAAAAGCTGGTAGAAAAAGGAAGACAACAAAAGAAAGCTAAGTATGCTATGTGATCAAGGTGAAATGATTTCAAATTTCCAAGAACATACTGACTCGAATTTGGATTTACGTTTTAAAAAAACACAAAAACGCACAACCAGTAACTTCAATATCCTTTCAGAGGATTTTTATTTAGATTGTAGGAGCCTACGCAGAAATGTTCAAAATGCTTTTCAGGGAGATAGAAGAACACTATGGCCGAATCTAAAACTTGCGCTTTCCCACTGGAAGCCCAACTAATAACTCTTTGCAATCTGGACGCGCTGCTTTATTGGTGGACCAAGAAAGAAAATTAAGGATAAAGCTTAGATGATGATGATGATGATATATGATATAATTTTTGTACACACGTAAACCGGGCATTTTATTCAAGCAAAAAGATGAAAAGTACACTAGGATTTAGCGGTACATGCTGTTGAGGCTGCAGAGCAGGGACTTGTGGCTGGAAAAAAAAAAAAAAAGGAAAATTATTGATAAATGACATGAACACAAGGGCAAATGGTTTAGCTATTACAGATTCTTATTTAACGCTGCTTTGAGAATAAGAAAATTAACACACACGTTTTTAAGAGAATACAGACCTTGAACTCTTGGTCTTACTTTGATTGATGGGAGAAACCCAAAATAGAATCTATCATATGCATCATTAACGGCTGTGAAGCGTACCTTTTTCGTTTTAAAGTACACACTGTGAAGCATTTTCCACATTTCGATTTACCGAGGACTTTATAATTAACATGGCTAAACCAAAGTAGAGGAGAATAACTGTTTTAGTATGTACGACAGAGATACCAAACTAATAAGTTTAATTCTTTCGATATACCGGAAGATGGTTGAATGCGCGATTTTGTCTCATTGGCAGCTCGGTGGTGAATAGGACTTGCAATTCACTTCCGAACTAGCTTATCAGTGAGGGCAAAAAGCGCTTTTCAGTTGTGTGGTATATACCATTGTAATATAGAGATGCATTAAGACAAATATCCGCTGCAAAGTCACGTGTAGATTCTGAAATATTCAAATATCGAGTTTGGGAGATGTTAACTAATAAGCTTCACATAAAATATTTAGGGAAAATAAAAATCACCCAGAGGCAAATAACCTATATGCTTTAGTATCGCTTGAGGTGTAGGAGATTGTTACCAAATTTTAACGCCAAAGCGAGGTTTGGGGGAATAGTACTTGAGAGGTTAAAAAATTTTCAGTAATGTCGGCAGAAAATAAGAGGGTGACACATTCAGAAATTTCATCAGGTAATAATGGGAGCCATAACAGGTCAGAGCTCTCTTATTTTCGTTTTCCATCCGATCAGACTACGCAAAAAGCAGGGAAGAGCAGACATGCTCGCGGCGTTTAGTACCAAAGACCTTGAAAAGAAACCTTCCAGAAGGATTAAGACATTTCAAGCAGTTTCCACCAACATTTCATCCAAAATGCCCACGGCGTTCCTCGTAAAAAAAGCAAAAAAAGAAAAAGGGATCGTCGGGCAGAACAGTCGGTGAAAAGGCAAAGCGCAGGCCCAGAGCAGGTGACCACGCTGCAACGCAACCAGAGTGTGCACACTGCCTGGGCCCAAAGGAAAAGCTGTTATGAATTCTCTCTTCTCCAGGGCGTGAAATTGCGCCTAATACAGGCACCAATGCGACTAAATTTTTCACTTTGGCGACCAAATCCTGAAAGTTAGTCGCCAAATTGGCGATTACAACGTTTCATCATAACCTTACCAAGAGATATAGTGAATTAAATAAATTTGCAAAGATAAATCCGCGGCAAACTTCCTCGTTTAGTTTGTTTCCAAAACGTAGCACTTGTATCTCGATCGATAACTAGACGCCATCTTGGATTTAGATGAGCCTGAAGGTTGTATATCATACATCCTAGTGTCCACTTTGTAGCACGTCAAAGATCTTTTCCCTGACTTAATTTTGGAGGGTCTATCTAGAACGCTGACAGCGTAAAGAAAGATTTTGTTTGTCTTTGAAAATGGCGACCAACTTTTTTTGAATTGGCTACCACTTTGAAGAATTCAGGGGCCAAGTGGCTATCAGAAAAAAAAGTTAATTTCACGCCCTGTTCTCACTCCTCCGCCATCTTTGCTTTAAAGTGAGGCTAACCACGCAAACATCCAAAATGGCTGCATCACACTGTTGTGTTCCATCATGTTCAAATGATTTGAGGTAAAACAAATATCTATCCTTTCATGCCCTTCCTTCAGAGGCAAACACGAGAGCAGAGTGGATCGTTAAAATAAGAAGAGATCGAAACCAAATTTTGAAGTTGGTTTTGATCATTCTAATCCTTCATTTAGAGAATGCATCATTCTTTGTTAGTTTGTAATCGATTTTTAGGAGACTAACCGCTGAATTCTTGTGGCTGTGATCTCTTGCTTGATATTTCATGACCTTGCTACGTGATAGTCAACTTTACAAAAGTGAACTTTAGGCCTATATGCACCCTAGTTGCCTTTAATTTTTAATATTTTGTATAGAGTAAGAAACTCGCTGATGTTTGTTTAGAGCATTTCAAGAAAATTGAATAGAGGACCTTAATGAGTGGAACGGGGTAGCCATTGAAACCGACAGCATTCCCTTCTCTTTTATCATGGAATAAGAAATCGTTTGCATTCATTCGTCTTTAAAGTTGCGTGAAATTATTTCCAATTTACTGGAACAGATGACATTTTCCTACTGTTTTACCAGGATGATTTCAGGTTCATAGGATAACGGAAGAAATTATTCCATTCTGCCGTTTAGGGGTCACGTCAAGCTTAAAACCATATTTGTTTACAAGTAGGCAAGACCGCCGCTAGCGGGTAACGTCAAGCTTAAAACCATATTTGTTTACAAGTAGGCAAGACCGCCGTTTGCAGGTAACGTCAAGCTTAAAACCATATTTGTTTACAAGTAGACAAGACCGCCGCTACTGTTCGAACGATCTGATTCGTTCTATTTACTTGAATCTTAAGTGGGAATGTAAGCGAAAGCGATACCGTTTTTCTATTATCTGCAATGTTGAGCGATTCATTATCAACTCCAACTTCATTATCAACTATCAATTATCAACTCTTATCTATTCACAAAAGCAAACAAGAACGAGCGTCTATTGAAATTGTCATGACGATCATCATCACATAACATTAACCGTAAATAAAAAGTACGAACGAAGCAAAACAGCTCCTATGAAAGCAGTAATTCGCGAAATTTCGCACGTCACATTTGTATTCAGTTTCACTGTGTAACACCGGTCAAAGTGGATCCGTTTGGCGCTTATGAAATCCGAGCATTCCGGTTTACAGTAACGTCGGCGAAGGACTTTGCCGCTCTTCTAGTGCGGTATATGCAACGTCCGTGTAGTAGCAGACAAGAAGCCGTTGGATCTCGAAAAAAATAGATAGATTAGAGAGCTTGCCTGCCAGTATTTTCTAACACGAACTACTTCGGCGTGATTGTCGAAAGGCCACGGACTCTTATCTGGATTCGCGTAAGCTTGATCAGCGAAATGTATAGACAAATCTATATTATTTTTTTTTTTACCTTGATAGCTTTAACTTACATAAATATTTTGTAAAACACTCAGTTTTAGCGTTTGTTTGCTTCAACTTATTTTGGTTAAAGAACCAAAAATCGAAGAGTAAACAGTGATCTGGAGATAAGGTCTTCGATTACAAGTCACGCATTCGAAAACTGAGTTGATTTGCGCATTAAAGTTCTCCACGATAAAAAAATCTCGCCGAAGGAAACAATTAAATTATTTAAACAAGCACTGAGAAATCTTTCAGCTTTTAATAAAAGTGAACAAGACGCGCGGGCGAAAGTCGATACAGCCAGCTTCTTGATCAAGTCGCATCTTTCATGGTGATTTCAAATTCTTAAGACAAAGTTGTCACGGTCTCAGGCTGGAATCAAGTCAATTATTCACATCTTAGGAACTTTCAAAACCTTATTTTACGAAATTCTAGTTGGAATCATGACTGGTCATTTCAACGTTTCATTGAAACAGTAGCCATTGCGTCCCTTAGATGTTAAGATAATCGAATGTTGATTTGATGCTTCGGGGCGGCACTTTGAGACATAAAACCTTTTTTTCCGAAACAATGCAGAACAAAGGAAGCTGACTGCGTTGAGTAACAATAAAAAAAAAAAAAAAAACGCGCTTAAGACATGCGCTGTAGCAGCGCTTTTTATTGCGCAGAACGCGAAAATCGTGCTTATGCGCGAAACTCAGAGTTACAGAGAATCGATGCGTCCTCTTCTTTAACTTATGTATACTTAGCTCTGATACCACAGCATTGAGCACTTTATGCCAAGGTAGACTTTACCCTCACATTTATATATATATATATATATATATATATATATATACACATATATATATATATAAAGTGTAAAATTTTGACTTTCATAAAACAGTGCTCAATACATAGAAATAGAGCGATGTATATATTGTGGGAGGAAAAAGACAAATGAACTACAAGTTCATCCCTTTAAACCTGTTTCGTGGTTGCCCACTCATCACGGGATTCATCATTCATTCCACTGGATTCATTCCACTCATCAGGGAAATCCTCTGATGAGTGTGCAACCACGAAACAGGTCTGTAGGGATGAACTTGTAGTTTATTTGTCTTTTTCCTCCCACAAATATATATATATATATAGATTCACATGTAAATTAAACCACTTTAATCACATTTCCAGATGTCATTAGCCTCTGATTTTTTAACCTTACGGTTGTGCTACATGAACTAAGCTAACTATGGAATATAGGTTTTTCCTGCATCATGGAATGAGCTGTTATTTATCATTACACCCCTTTATGTAAGCCTAAGTTTCTACCCAAACACCGAAATAGGCCTTTTTAAACTTAAGGGAACCCAAAATTAGGAGAGAAGATTAAGATTTCCCATATGTGAACTGTCACAAATATGAATAAGTCATCTTCATTTGCAATATATACAAGAATATACCGCGGGAAGATAAAAAATTAGATCTTTCTCTGTAAAAAGAAAAGAAAGACTGACACAAGATGTAATACCTGCATTAAAGTGAGGCCAATCTTGGAATATGGTTGCTTGACTCAATATGTTGGCCACAACAGATGCTGCCATCACACAAGCAATTTTCTCCCAATTCACACTGGAAGAATGGCTACTATTTTCAAAGCCTTTAATGCCCTTTACTATCAGCAATTCTATGTTAAAATCATGGGCCGCAGTCCAAAATCCTGGAAAAAAAGACGAATATTTGTTTATGTTTGGTTATAGTTTCTATAATTAAAATCACTATTTTGAAATTTAAAGTTTACTAAGATCAGCACCCTTAACATATGTAAACACGAACTTCAGAGAAAGTCATACCCAAGCTTGTTTGTGAACCTGATTATTTAAAAAACCTTGTATGGAGACTATAAAGTAAAACTTCATTTTTACTGGACAAACTCTTGATAAAGACTTATCAGGGACTGCAATTCTATTCCTCTAGCTTCAACCTATTTAACACGATACTCCCGACATCTTTCAGATGACAATTTTGTGGACAATGCACAACTACCTGATAGAACTTGCAAAATTCTAACAATAAGTTTAAATTGCTGAGGACATAAGGATTTTCCCTCTTCTTTGTTTTTTTTCTGCCACTTAAACTAATTATGTGCGAAAGATGTAATTTCAGTCACCCTGAACAGCAAAAAGGTCTTGAAGCAAGACACAAAATCACTAATGATACTAATTATATATTCCTGCAGAGTCTTTGTTCTATATGATACAGCGTATGTCATTTCTTGGACCAGCAAAGACAATTCCAGAACGGTCTTTTTGAAATTACTTCCCACAGGCTACATGTTCAAAAAGGAAGGGGAATTTGATACACTGCTGAAAAGTCCCTGGCTCATCTTTATAATTATTATGATTCTCACCTCCAGCTTCCTCTTCAACTCCAATTGCTTCAGGATATCGGCTAATTATGTCTTTGTTTGCCTCTGAGATACTAAGAAGCGCTCCCAAGTGGACCTTGGGTTTATATCCATTTGCATTTTTCAAAGGTGGTTTCCATCCATCTGCTATATTTCTGATAACTTTATTCATATTTCTTCCTGGTGGAATTTGGAATGCAGGTGTTATCAGTTTTGATGACACAACTATATCTCCCAACTTTACCTTTTTGCTGTTTAACCCACGGCATGCACCTACAGAAATTAGAGCCTTGGGCCTCAAAAGCAAGATGGCATCTTTTGCGGCAGACAAAGCTCCTCCAGGACCATCATGACCTTTGGAGCATCGCATCAAAGCAGTTTCAATTTTGTGTCCCCAATCATCCTCCATGAAACCAAAGTATACAAAACCAACAGTGATGTGGTAACTCCTCTCGGGCTTCTTCAGGTGGGCAAAACAGGATAAAAACTCGTCATCTTCCACTGTGAATAACACAATATCAACAGGGAGCTTTACATCTTCCCAATTAAGAGAGGTTAAAGGAAGCTCACAAATGTTCGGAATGTCAATACTGAGCTCTGGTGAGCTGATCTCCACAGTCTCTGCTGCTCCATTATGTACATGCTTCCAATGTTCTGGCTCTGTAAAGGAAAAATGTGATTTTAAAAGACAGAATAAAGTACTACATACTAACCACCTGTGCACATACACATAACGTTGCTTATGAAGGATTTTTTCCTTTAGGACAATACAGTACGAAAACTGTTTTCGGCAACAACACTAGTCTGACAAATAACTTTATTGTGACAAAATTGAGAAAGTTCCTTCACTTTAACAAAGAAGTGGACTTCAGGAACCATAGTATGATTTTCACCTCCACTTATTAAAATCAAGTAAAAAGATTTACCTCTAACAATTGTTTAAGATTCCAATGAGTAACAAAACCATTCAAAATGTTTCTTTAAATTTGTTGAGAATTTGACTGCTGAGGTTGCTTACCAAACCTCAAAAATATCATTTTAGTAGAGAATACATTTTTTGTGTGTAGCTCCTCATTGTGGAAACTGATCGGTTAAAAAATAAAAGGGAGGCAAGACTCTGTTAAACCTCAGGTACATATGAACAGCTATGTTAAGAAGTAAGAATCTAAATGGTGAGATTTCCAGTTGCCAGTTTAGGCAAATTTGCAGGCAGTTTTACAAAACATCAGGTTGCTGTTTTGATTCTCAGATGAACAGGGACCGCGCAGAGGGAGGGGCTGGGGGGGGGCTTTAGCCCGCCCCCCACTTTTTTGCAAGAATAAAAATAAATTAAACAAAAAATAACTTAACAAAAAAATTTTCCTTCACGCATTCTTCTTTAGCCCTCCCACTCGAAAACTTGCTGCACGGTCCCTGGTGAACAATTTTTAAATGGCAAGGAAAAAAATTCTTAAGGTCTCTGGAGCATACTTTGCCTTTACTGAGCCATAACTGAAATTGTCAAACACTGTTGACACACCAGAGTAACTTAATGACTCAGTATGGACTAAAATATTACACAGACCTCCCCTTCCCGAAATCTGCTCAGAAATGTCAATTGAACCCTCCATGTCCCCTTCATTCCTGGCCTTTTTTACTGTTTTACCTTCTCCTAATTTGTGTTCGGCTGAGGCATCATCCCCCATCCAGTTTCTCAATTGCTTTCGGTAATCTTCCCAAAGATCCTCATCCAAAAAATCAACTTTTTTAAGATTGTTGATAGTATTCAGATAGCGGTCACCTCCGAAACGCAGGAAGGTGTTTGTGATGTCAGACAAGTAGTAAGCGAAAGTCGCATCGTCCACTGATCCACTGCTATCATGACAGAGAATTCTGTCTCGGAGAACTCTTATGTCAGTAAAGCCAGCAACTGGGGATGTATTTGTCACAGGTGGAAAGTTGTCCTGGCAACTGGCAGGGACATTTAGATCCAAGATATTTGTGAGAAGTAGCAGCTGTAAAGACGGGTCAAAGTCTTTTGAGGAAACTGGTAGTGATTTCACAGCAGGATACAGTTTTAACCACTGGGTTACACTCAGGACACTCTTCTTTCTAAGACTTGATAGTTTGCTACGAGTTTTGTTATCCTTTAGAACTGAGTCAAGTTTTGTTGGTGGACAAATCTTGTCAAAGACCTCTGTTAGCAAAAGTTTTCCAGCCACAATAAGAAGACGACACAGCCTGGCATAATTAATTTTTCCTTTGTTGGAAGAATACAATGGCGTTGCAGAATCCATGAAGACATGTCTCCTACAAATAAATACTTATAACCATTAGAGAAAACTTAATAAAACTCTAATGCGCCATCCAGTTCAAAACTTCGTCCCCCTCCCCCCTACTCCGGGCAACCCACAGGCATTTGACTGTCATTCGTATGCATGGATTGGGGACTTTGAACCACCAAAAATACAAACCGCAAATGGAACAGCGATCTGCTGGGGGCATGACGTCATCGAATGCGAAGACTGCCGCGAAACCATCACATGGTGTAGTCGCTGTGTTGAAGAGTCTTCACTTCGCCTTGCCGTAAAGCAGAGCCAATTCAGTGAGTTTCTCCTTTTTTCCCCCGCCGATATTGCATTTATTCGTTGTCGTTCATGGAAGCGTTAATTAAAATAGCAACGAGACTGGATTCTACCACATTTTTCAATCAAACATGTAGGTAAGCAACCTTTTTCCGAGTTGGTTTTATCGTCCGGCACACCAATTAAAGCATTCCGATATCACTTTGATTGAAAAATGTCAAAACAGATCAAGGATATCAATTTTCTTACCATGGCGTCCAGGGCACACACAAAATTCAACTTCTCACGTCCTCCTCCAACTCTCATTGAAAAGTAAGTGTAAGTCAGAGAAAGAAAAGAGAGCTCGACAATCGACAATTAATACACGTCATAACACTACTTAATACTATAAACATATTCAGGCCCACCAACGCGTGCAAACTTTGGTAAACCGGGAGGCCAGTGTCACTGCGGATTTGGACCCCACCGGTCCAAATCTGCTAGCGGATATGGACCCCCCTTCGCAGATTTGGACCCCTTACCAAACGTTCCTTTTAAGTATCGTTTGTATCATATTTGGTAACTTATTCTATTTACAAGCTTTTTGTCGATATTCTTTTCAATCAACACATTCCTCAATAAAGGTAAAGAAAAACAGCCATTTCGTTCCAATCCTGCCGCATTTATTATAGCGAGTCGTACAGTATACGCAAGAACTAGATGCGAACAAACTACTGCAGTCGAACGATTGAAATTGTAACAATAAATCTTTGCTTCTTCTGATGCGAATCAACATTGATACGAAACGTCATAACAATAGTGGAGACTATTGCGTCCAGTTACAAAAATATCTCAGTCTGATTTTCTAATCAAATAACATTAAACAGTTTCTGAACAAGAACGAAGTAACAACTCTTACGACAAGTCGTTGGTAAGGCCTATGATAAGAAAAAATGTTTCTATTCTGAACTATTGCAACTCCCAGCTTATTTTCAGATGCAAATCAACATTAATGTCTACGTCTTAACAAAAATGGAGACTATTTCATAGATCTCAATCTTATTTTCTAATATTAACGATTATTAACTGTTGAGGGATCTGAAATAACAAACTCGCACTGTACCATGTCGTCCCAACACTTGGGCATTGTACAATAATAAAATAAATTAGTGTCATAAGTTTGTCTCTTACTGAATCTAGCGGTGTTCGACTATTGCAGAAAAGGTTCAAAAACGACCTTTCTCCGAACATTGAACTAAATGCTTGCACATTTTCCCTTGGTCAAAAGAAACATCCGAAGGGTCATTTCTAGCTGCCAGTTCGTATGCATCGGCGATACGCATATTTTGAATTAAAAACATACTTAAGTACGCACTGAAATGTAAAGTATTATCTATTTCAACGAGAACGTTAAGGATGATGTTTTCACTCAGTTCTGTTGGGGGTCCGGATCCGCTTGCGGATTAGGACCGGGGGTCCAAATCCGCTAGGACACCGGCAACCGTGGTAGAACTCAGTCTCGTTGCTATTTCAATTGACGCTTTCATGAACGACAACGAATAAAGGCAATATCGGTAGGGAAAAAAAGAGGAGAAACTTACCGAATTGGCTCTGCTTTACGGCAAAGCGAAATGAAGACTATTCAATACAGCGACTACGCCATGTGATGGTTTTGCGGTAGTCTTCACATTTGATGACGTCATGCCCCCAGCAGATCGCTGTTCCATTTGCGGTTTGTATTTTTGGTGTTTTCGGCGAGATAGCCTTGGCGGCCGTCACCACCAAAAATACAAGGATGTCAGATAGATCAGCAAATACAAAGAGAGTTTAAGGATCAGCTGCAATATAGCATAGCTAATAAAGGAATGGCATGGCCTTCACGTCACGCCACTAGCAAGCTCGACGAGTCGCCACAACATCGAAATATTTTAAGTAATACTAAGCAATTTAATGTTCAGATAGAGCGTCTGATGTTCCACAAAGCTATTCGACCTAACGCTACACCATTTGTGTCTACGCTGTACCATTCGACATTACGCTGAGCCATTTCACGCAACGCTACACTGTTTGTATGTACGCTGTACCATTCGACATTTCGCTTAACCCCCATCTACCCTAAGTTAGCCATGTTGTACCATGTTAACCCACATTTACCCTTAGTTAACCATGTTCTACCACGTTAGCCTATATTTACTCCAAGTTAGCCATGCTCTTCCCCTCTAGGGTAAGTTTCTAAGAAACTGTGGAGCTGCGTCGGTGGGAGAGTATAAGAGGGTATTTTAGTATTATCAACTGAGTTGATAATGTAAATTAGCCACCATGAAGAGTTTTAAAGCTGATGTTTCAAGCATTAGCCCCTTGTCATTCACTCTGACAAAGAGCTAACCCTCGAAAAATCAGCTTTAAAACTCTTCATGGTGGCCAGTGTATGTAATCAACGCAGTTGATAATACTAAATACTGGTTTAGTCTGAAATCACGTCATAATCTAACGGTACATTCAATTTATTTACCACAAATGAAAGTATCATTGTTTTGTACAGGACACACTTCACAAGTTCATGATATGAGTTGCACTATCTGTGATTGTGATGATAGGGTTAATTTATCACTTGATAGTCTTACTTACTCTGTAATGTCTTGATCGCCTGTGTCTTGCATCAATGGAAGAGGCCCAATGACACCATTACCTCCCTCTTTATCTTTGTCTATAATAGCACAAAAGCAAATTAATTGAATGTTCCTTAACCCTTTGAGCCCTATCATCATTATGCATATTCTCCATACTGTTCTTTGTACTTTTCGTAAGGTGCTAACTAGGAGAATGTCTTTAACAATCTCTGGTTGGTGATCATTTATCTTATTCTTGTGACCTTGATGGTTGATTCAGGAGTGATATTGTGGGGAGAAATTTGATGCTGATCACTCTTTAGAGTCAAAGGAAGAGTTCTTGCTTTCATTAGGAAATTTCAGGTAAGTGTTGAAATACTACACTCAAGTGAAACCATTTCTCATGAGAGGGGTTTCAAAAGTAGGCAGATAGTGGGTAGATCCACACATTTGTAATGCAATGGCTGCCTGCTTCAAGCTAGTACCACTAACAATGTTGTTTTACCTCTAACATTAATGGAAATTTCTTAACTTTTCAATCATGGTTGACTTCAAGGAACAGCAAAGAAACTTAAATCAGAAAACCCTCATTACATGCCCAAAAATGGGACTGCACAGGTCTACACCTTCCAAATTTCCTAGGAAAGACCAGAACTTGTTGGGAACAGAAGGCTCTCTAGGGTTTCAAAACTATCCATTTCTACCATATTGTATAAGGAACACTGCAAAAGATGGAAATTTTCTTCCTATTTCAATGACTCAATTTCTCTAGATGATGGTTGTTATCTGCACTGTGAGTCATAAAAAAGTGTACAAATGGATAAAAAATTACTTCACAGACTCCATACTTGCAAATTTTCATACATTTAATCTTAATATTAACACCTTTTTGCTTTTCAATCCATGACTCTCACCATTCCGCATCAGTATCTTCTTTTGAAAGAAAACAAGTAAACTTAATGAAATTTATTTTTCTCATCTGGTGCCCATGCTCACAGTGTATTATAACAGATGGTTTGAAAACTAGTCAAACTTAAAAAAATTCAGACTGCACATCATTTTTATCAATTGGGATACCTTACCTTCTGATTCATTCTCAGAGCTTGACTTTTGGTAAACCTTCTTCTTGTGATGCTTTTTACTAAAAAGGAAATACAGGTCAAACAAGTTAGAACCAAATTTAGTTACTGAAGTAATTGCTCAATTTGACTCACACTGGTCATGTGACATTGGGTATAAGAAAACCCAAATGGAAATATCTTACAATCTTCACCACAGCCATAATTTTTTTCATAATTAAACAGCACCATTAATAATTTTAAAGTCAGGATATCTAATGCAGATTGGGACAGCTTGACTATCATACTACAAGTCTTTGTCAGATGACAATTAGTGGTACAACAGTTAAAAGGTCAAGTTTTGCAATACTAATAGCTCAAGACTGTACAGTCCAAGGTGAATGTACTGTATAGAGTGACATAAATGATTTAACCCTCTCCACCCTAGCCCCAGTATGAATATTCTCCATACCGTTCTCTATACATTTCCTCAGGTGCCGACAATGAGAATTTGTTCAACAATCAAGAGCTTCTATAGTTGGTGATCATTTCCTTTATTCTGGTGACATTAATGTTGGATTCAGGGGTGATATTGTAAGGAGAAATTAGATGCAAGTCACTCTTAGGTGTCCATTTCATCCAGTTCTTAACATGTGATGAAGGGCATGTGCATACCAGTGAAATGTAAAGGGTGAATCTTGTTCAGGAAGCACCTACCATTCCAATAAAACTTAGTCATTGATCCACCAAGGGTAGCATCAGTGTGGTTGAGATAGAGCTCACAACAAGAACTCTTCAAGGTCCTTACCTTTTCTCTTTAGAGTGACTTTTTCTTGATTTCTTTTTACTAGATTTCTTATGTTTCTTTTTCTTCTTCTCACTGCTGTCCTCTTCACTTTCACTTTCACCTACACAGAAATATTTCCAAAATGTTAACAATTCCTCATAAACATGTACACCAGTCTACAACAATAATTGTATGTGCAGCATCCAGCAATCAAACAGTATTCCTTTTGAGGTCCAAGATGGCTTTATTGATCATTTATTAGTGAGCAGACTTAACCCTTTAACTCCTAGAAGTGATTAGCATGTAACTGCTCCCCATAATATCCATACATTAACCTGCACACAGGTAATGAGAATACTCAAACTAATGACAGGTGGAAGTTATCCAATGATCCAACACCAAATTCTCAACACAAATTTACAAGGAGATGTGTTGCAGCAACAGGGGAGAATTAACAATCAGATCTTGGGACTTAAAGGGTTAAGGGGTTCCACTAGCCAGGTTGTGGGTAAATCTGCTAATAGCTCTAATTGACAGCACTGGATGTTATGCATTGTCCCTTAATTTCAAATCTCTTTAATCTAATTTAGTAAGTGTTATTTAATTGTGAAAGGGAATCATGGAAAAAATTACTCTCTCTGGTTCTTTTCATCCTGTCTGCAGCTAGAGCTGTCTTAGTAGGCTCATCATCACAACTATCAAAATACAAAAAATACTTCATATTAGAAAACTTCAAAATTTGCATGGTTTGATAGATGGTTTGTGCTCTAGTTAGCTCCTGATTAGTGTCCTTTGTAATATTTTTTTTCATGTCAAGTGTCCTATTGGCTTATTCCAATAAAACTGCCACTAAAAAAAGGTTTTCTATAGTTTCAGAATACAAAGAGAGTTCCATATAATAATAATAATAATAACCTTTATTTATTACCTTTGGTGTTAAGAATTACGGTAATATTACAATAAAAATTCAAAACACTACATATTATATATACATATCAAATCAAGTTAAGTTTAGCACCTCTAGGAACAAATGATTGTTTGTGCCTAACAGAGCGTGATACAGGTATTCTGAGGTGTGCTGGGTTAGTCTTACAAGATCTTAGATTATGGCCATGATCCACTGGCTTTTCTAAAAAACGTTTACAAGGATGTGCTTCAGATTCTAGGATACGTTTAAATTCTTTCCCTGTCAAATTCTGACGCCTTGTTACAAGTGACTCAACAGTATCCCTAGGGAGACCAATGACATTTAGACATCTATTCTGTACTCTCTGTAGATCTTCTTCGAGGTAAATGGGCAGCCCTCCCCAGACAGGCGAGGCATATTCTAAAACAGGTCTAATCTTAGTGATGTAAGTTGTAAGACCAATGTCCCTTGGGAGATGGGCTGTTCTACAGACCCTAAGATAGTGGATCGGTTTACATGCTTTGCTGACAATACTTGAGACATGTGTATTCCACTTGAGATCATTCTGTACTATACACCCAGTAGTTTAAACTCTGAAACCCTCTCCAGTTCAGTAGGCCCGATATTAATAGGAGCAGGAATTGGACAGGACTTTTTGAAGGTGATCCACATATCTTTGGTCTTTTTAGCATTCAGCTCCATTTTATTCTGCACAGCCCATCTTTCCAAGTGAGTCACTGTAGTGTCTAAAAATGAAGAAGTATGCCACAAAAGGCAGCCACGAAGGCGAACAACAACAGTACACACAGTACACGTTTCTTTTATAATCTTCCCGCGCTCACACTTTCCCGGATGTATACTTTTACATAAACAACCGCTGTCCTAGTATACTACATTCCCTCTCTTTCTTCGCTCAGATGGTTGACCTCGAAAGACAGAAACATAACAAACTTCCACTTTGTTTAGATACCGTAAAAGTTCAATTCGATTCCAAATGTTCAAGACAAAAATCACGCTAAACATAAACATAGCCTTGGCCGTTCAGCTTATAAAACAACGTTTCAATGTCACTCATGTAATAACAACGAACAGTAATATGAAAATGCCAATGTCACTAGTTTTAGTACAGAACGTAGTCACTCAGAGCCTTTGGACGGCTCGTAATTCTGCCGGATCTTCTCACATGCTGCTCAGCTATAGGTACAGTAGAAGGTACATCTTCTGGTGGTGATTCAGCCATTGGTACTTGATCCTCTGCCACAGGTGGCGTCTCAAATGACTTAGGTTCAGTCCGTGGTTTAGCGTCCTGTTGTGGCGTTTCCTGTTCTACTGGATCTGGCATATTAAAGGACTTAATATGCTGAAGGCTGCGTTTGTACTGGACACCTTGAGGCGATCGCAACACCACCTGGTCCCCATAACGAGATATCACCTGATATGGTTCCTTCTCATAGCAAGGTGACAGCTTATTTTCTTTCTTCTTCTCAAGCAGAACACTGTCTCCTTCTTTCACATTTCGATCTCTGGCATGGAACTTCTTGTCCACATAGTCCTTGTTAAACTGCTTTCTCTGATTGTCCCGATCACGAACGGCTTGGTCGCTCACTTCTAGCTCCTCCTCTTCAACGTTGACTAGCTCAGGCATTTTAGTTGTTAGCTTTCTCCTAAACAATAACTCGGCGGGACTCTTTCCTGTGGTTGAATGTGGCGTGGACCTGTACGCCAAAAGAAACCTGTTTAGCTCCTCTCTCCAATTCTGTCCTTCTGCATGGGCTGCTCTCATGGACTTAAGAAGCGACCTGTTTTGCCTCTCTACCTCGCCATTAGCTCTTGGCCATAGAGGTGTTGTGTAACGGTGTTCAATCCCCATTTCATTCAGGTAATCTTCTACTTCTTTGGATACAAGATTTGAGCCATTGTCGGTACGCAGACCTTTAGGCAACCCATGTCTTGCAAATTGGGCATCCAAGCAATGAATGATGGTTTTGCTGGAAGTTGTTCGGATAACATCAACTTCTATCCACCGGCTGTAATAATCAACGAGAACTAACAAATGTTCTCCAGAAGGTAACGGACCCATTAGATCCACAGCTACTTCTTCCCATGGTTTGTTGGGTAACGGTGTTGACTTCAATGGTGGGGGTGGAATGTTCTTTGTAACCATCTGGCACCCGTAACACTCTGCACATCTTTTCTCGGCATCACGATCCATAGCAGGCCACCAGACTTTTGTTCTAAGTCTCTCCTTTGTCTTTGTGACTCCTTGGTGCCCCTCGTGTGCCAAACTAACGACTCTCTTGCGAAGTGCTTGGGGTATAACAATTCTTGTCCCCCGGAGAATTACATGGCCAATAAAAGTCAACTCATTGCGCACTGGCAAATACTGCTTTGGGGCATTGTCCCATTTCCCTTCGATGAGACAATTTCTGAGTGCTTGCAACTCAGAGTCTTGTGCTGAGACTTGTTCAATCTCTTTGATTCTCAATGCAGCGGGGACAGCATGTAGAGCTATCGCGCGTACATATCCATCATCTTCCGCGGAATTGTCTGACGCCGGTATCTTCGTCAGTCGGGAAAGGGCATCTGCGATGTTTTTCTTGAAGGCACATAGCAAACTTGATAGTTGTACGGTTGTAAACGCAGAACCCAGCGCTCTATTCTGGCTGAAGGTTTAGACTTCCTGGAATAGATGACTTTAAGTGCTTCATGGTCTGTCACCAGATCAAACTGTGGAAGCCCGTACAAGTAGAGGTGGAAGCGTTCACAAGCCCAGACTAAGGCTAGTGCTTCCTTTTCTGTCTGACTATAACGACGCTCCACTTGACTCAAACTACGACTAGCATAACAGATGGCACGGCTTTCCCCATTCTTTTCTTGCACCAGCACGGCGCCAAGTCCAACAGGACTTGCATCAGCAATAACACGGGTGGGTGTGTCCTTATCGAAGTAAGCTAGGACTGGTGCACTTGCAACTTGACTCTTCAATCTCTGAAACGACTGCTCCTGCTCCTTGCCCCAAACGAACGGTTCCCCTTTTCTTGCAAGTTTTCTGAGGGGATCAGCAGTGGTAGCAAAATCGGGTATAAACCTGGCACTGAATCCAACGAGCCCCAAGAAGCTACGGACTTCTGAGGGTGTCTGAGGCTGACTTGCCTCTGCAACTGCTCTGACTTTTTCCTCCGTTGGGCCGATGCCATGCTTACTCAGCAAAAGACCCATGAATACCACTTTAGTCATTCGGAAAGTGCATTTTTCAGCATTCAAAGTCAGCTGCTTCTCACTAAGACGTTGCAACACACTGTGTAAGTTCTTATCATGTTCTTCAGTGTCTCGACCATGAACGATAAGATCATCTGCTATGTTTGAC